TTTTCATATTGTCATCTTGATTTCTTTGTAGCTTTGCCAGACACCCTGGTTTCACCAAAACAGTCCTAATTTCAGGCTGTTTCTCAGCTATCCGCTAGCATGTGTAGCCCAGACCAGTAAGTGCTCTGGTATGCTCATACACAAGCATTTTGAGCCCAGCCTTCTGGAGGCAAAAATGACAAATCCCTGCTATGACTCGGTAGGAGCTGGGCTTCTACCCCAGACAGCAACATGGCTGGAAAGGCAGGAGCTGTTGTACCCATGGTCAGACCCCAACGAGTCTAGCAAGTCTGCTTGTCATGCTGCAAGGAGAAAGCACTGAACATACAGAACTGTCCAGATTTGGGCTTGGCTTTCTGTATTTCCTTGAAATATAGTGTCTTTAGCAGTTATACGCTTCATCTTTTGGAAGTAACCTTTCCTGTTAGAAAAAGCAATATTTGAAATGCATCAATATTTTGTCTATAAACACAACCTTCCTTTTTTCTCTGTAACGTACAGTATATCCCACAAGCTATGTTTCCACATTAAAGAGGCCCATACCATCACTAGAATCCTCACATTGGTGAGAAATCCTAGACATTTTTGATGTAAGCAGGAAATCATTATAAGCACTGCTGAATTCTTGGTTTTCTATTGCCCCAAACAGCCCTGAAGCACTGCAAAAGTGACTTCACAGCTGTGCACATCTGACCTTCACTGGGTAAGAAGAATTTCGGAATTACTTATTTTCTTGGTAATAGCTCTGGGAATCTCCTATTGTTTGTTTATTCCCTGAGACTTTAACATAACTGTGTGTTCAGATTTGGTCAGTAGGTGTGAAAATTCCTGACAGGGCATTTTACTGGCCCAGTGAGAACACACAGAATAGAGGCTGCCTTTGGGCGCCCTGAGCCGTGCACCAGGACTGACAGCTTGGCAATTCCAGTGCTGCTCTCCTTCTGCTGCAGCCTGACAAGACAGGGGATGAAACTCTACTTGATGCACAGACTCATACAGAAAAAAATACTTGTGCCTTTGTGAGGAATAAGAGGAGGACTGTTTCCCAGTAAATAGAACCTTCATCGGTCAAATGCCATATTATAACTGCATGCAGTGTGCTGGTGCATGTTTGTGGCTTGCTCTTGTAAGACTTTCAAGGAAAGAATTTTCTTCTCGAACACTCACCAAATCCACTTTATAATATTATACTGGCTTTGATTAGGCACATTGGCTTGCCCTGATACTGTACAGTGCATTGTGTGAAGCACCCTGCATGCTTACAGGGTATACAATCCCCATAGTGCCTTTCACTGCATTTTCCTCTAGTGCTGCCATTCATAAACAAAGAAAAGTCTCTTCACTACAGAGCAAAACCTTTTAGACTTCAGCCTAAAAGTTTTACCTGAATGCAGATTAATATAAATAATTGTGCAGTTTTTCCCCCTTTATGGAAAAATAATTGTGAAATCCCAGCCCCTCTAAAGTTAAAGTGAGTACAGCCTTGGATGTCAAGACAATCAATTTATAAATTTAATTGAAGAACATTTCAAGAATGTATATTTATTTAAAGATTAGAAACAGCTGTATTATTAAGGATAGGAAAATGAAAATGAAATTAAATAAAATGTTTTCTGGTTTTTCTTAAGCTTGGAAACCCAGAACAGTTTCATTCACAGAGAATCAAAAAGAATGCAAATCATAGCTCTGACTACTCATATTACTTAAAATATCTTAATGCAATGATTGTTAGAAAAAAACTGCTTATTCAGGGAAACTGCACTTCATTTTATTACACAGCATATTTTCAACCAATAAAAAGTGAATTATACTATTATTTAGTTCCCATAAATAGCTTATTTAAATGAAATGCTGTGGAGAAAATATCTAAGAATACCTCAGAACAAGTAGGGAGATGAGATGAAAGAAGCTGGTAGGCCTGGGTGGTGAAAAAAACAATCAAAGATGAATTTCATCAGACTTGGATGAAAATTAAACTATCTGACTGGAACTTCAGTGATGCTGCATAGAGCTTTCAATGCAAATAAATTCCATTTTTATCACTTTGGGATGGATAGTGTAGTTTACAGGCAATTTGAAAAAGTCTTGTTAAAATGTAAAATAGAAATCATATACATGTTACAGTTTTACTGTAGAAATAATGTAGGATAGCATAAACGGATAGAGACAGAGAAAAATATAAAAGGAATAATCAATATCTTTGCATTAACATTTTTTTTATTTTTTTCCCATTTACTCCAACATTCCATTTAGAGTTCTACATTTGCCATTTCTCTAACCCTTTCCTCTCCATTTTAAATAAACAGAGATGGACTGTCAGAAATAATAAACAGAATCAAAGTCAATTAACAATCTATTGCAGTCCACTGTGAAATATGTTATTAAATAATTTAACACCTTACAATAGTCACTTGAATTTTAAAGACAGAAAACTAATTTAATTGCTGTTGTTATTTTTTAATTTAGCATTATTTTTTAACATAGTGAGGAAAAACCTACATAGGTGGTATATTGCCATAATCATTTTTAGCAACACTTTCTGGCCCCCAGCTCAATACAAGTAAGGGATGGCAAAGGTAAAAAGAGTGATATCAGCACTGTATTCTCCTAAATTATCATCTACCACCTCAAACACAAAATATCCAGCTTGCAAGCAGGATTTTAATTTTTGACATCCATTTTCATGTATCTTCCATGCAAAGTGAAAATAAATCAAAGTCCAACATATTATAAAAAAGAGAATGCAGATCTCTCACTGCTCAAAAGACTGTTAATGCATTTAGTTTGTTGTTAATTGAAATAATAATACTTAGCTGTGAGGCTTTTCAGTTTTACAGCAGAACTGGTAAAGCTCTCACTGAGAGGGCAAAAATATAAAAGAATTCAGGAAAAATAAGATCAGTAGCTGTTAGGTTATGCCAAAATAAATGGCAGATTGAAAACTGGTTTTTGCTGTTTGCAGGCGCATAGATGTTGTCACCGAAAAAGGGAAGAGGAATGAGTACAAATATTTAAGTGCTTTCCTTGAGACAGGAGAAACTTAAAAGCATGAAATTGCAGTATGGAAGTATTTCAGACTGACAGGTAAATAAACTGTGATGAAGATTTAAGGGTTAAAGCAAGCATCATATCTCTGAAAACTAAATCTGCTCTAATTAGAGGTATGCAACACTACAATATTCACTACTAGAGAAATGCCAGAATAATCCAAATGGGGAAAGGAATCTATTAAATATTTCCAGGTCTTTAAAACCAAAGGGTTTCAAATTGTAAATATGTCAAGACCCATGAGAAGTTATAGTTTGCAATACTAGTACTCAGTTTCCAAGTAAATACATCTCAAATTGCCTTTTATGACTAAAGACCAAAGATAGAGAGGAAAAAATAATCCATAAAAGGGAGCAGGGAAAAAAAAAGAGAAAAGCCCTATGTCTGCTTTCTTGGTGAAAAATCAAGAAAATCAGGTGTGGCCTGATGTACTGCAATAGACACACATGACTAAAATCTGAATACTCCAATCAGATCCTGAATTAATGAAAATTCAACTTTACACCTGTATACATGCTGCTGCTGGGTTTAAATTACTATGTCATTTGAGAGTTCTGCCATAATGCCTCAGGTTTTCAGGTGAAAACCTGAGATTTCTGCATTTGTCAAGTCTTGCTGCTGAAGAAATTGTCCCTAAACATGCTGTGATTGCAGTTCTGTGAGCAGGAGAACTGGATTTATGAATTCAGGTTGATTTCCTCAGGAAATCTTGGAAGTTTAATACTGACGGGAATCACTCTGCAATCTTCCATTACCAGGGGCTGTTGCCCCAACCCAGACAGAACAGACAGAGTAAAGGAATAGCATCATTTCCTCAGGAAAACACATTATAAAGCAAGTGATAAGGCTGGAAACTAGGAATATTATATAAGAAGAAAATGAAAACTAATTTATGTCTTTTAGTATGACACTCTCACTTGCAAAGGTTGAAACATTACCAGTCATGTTCCACCAGAAAGGTATAAAATTCCCATGTAAAACTGTAACAGTTTTTGAAACCTGTCCTTATTGAGATAGCAGTGTGAAAAAAATGGGACAATTCATTACATTAAAAATTATCATTTCATTAAGTATTGACCTGTTGATAATGTCATTGTTTGTTTTCTAAAACTTAATTGGTCACATTTTTTTAAGTAGCACATATATTTAAAGTATGGATATTGCAATTACATTTCTACCGTGTAACACAAACAGTCACTTTTTGGTTTTAAGGTGTAATGAAACATTATAGTTAATTCAGGCAAGTTATACCTAAAAATTAGGTGTGACTTTAATAAAATATTTTATTTTGTATTAGTGATTTCTCAAAATGAAATCATTTCACTTTAAGACATTGCTATTTCAAAAGACATCTTTCAATAACTGCCCTTGCTGGGTATGAACAGACCATTACGTAAAACAGCCAAATAAGGTAACGAAGTTTGACAACTAATGCAAGTACAATTTCTTGTACGGTGTTTGCTGTCATATTAATTTAAACTACTAAATATTAAGAACACACCAAGGAAGCTGTAATATTTTCATCTACTGGACTATGTTAACTAAAACAGTAACGTGAACCACTTTAGGAGATTTTTTTAACAGTTTTCTTCGACTTTCATTATTCATAAATGCTACCTTTCTTTCTTTCCGTTTCCGTTCCCTTCTTTCCATTTTCCCTCTAGTTGATTACAATGATGAGGGTTTAGATGCAATGGTTCCAAAAGCAGGTGAAAAATACATGACAAGGGGATAATGCAGTCAAGTATGTTCTGCAAAGCACTCACAACAACAGTACACCTGTGTAAACTGTATATTTGTGCAGATAATCAGCTAATCCAGAACTGTGCTGAAAGTCTCTATTAAACCACATCTTCTTGTACCCTTCATAAGATTTCAGATACCAGAAAAAAAATTATTTTCTTCAAGAACTTGATTTTATACAAGCATTTGCCAGTTGTACTTATTCTTACCTGTAGCAGAGCTGCCAACAAATAGACTGCTATAAAGATGGGGGTTAAGGAAGTATGTCCACTTTTCATTAAGTGGATAGTGTACAAAAAAATCAAGTGTCCAGGAATCACCAAGAGAAGTAGAACTTGGGCTGATTTGTTATTTACTCCTACAATAAAAAAATAAAAATAAAAAAATACAACATTTGGTTAAGCTCTTCAATTCATATATTAGATTTTTATTCATTTCAGTATAAAAACTCCCATTTTTGGAATTCCACAGCATTGGCTATTGTGAAACAGGAGGCATTATTTTCCACTAAAAGACTCCTTGAGGAATTTCACTGTCTTCCAGAAACGGTAAGCAGAGCCCTTCTGGAAAAGGGTGCAAACTGCCTTCATTCTGTGCTCATCTACATTTTTGGACTTCCTAAAATCTTACTAGTAAAGAGGATCTTTTGGACTCCAGATTCAAGACATCCTCAAAAATACCTTATATTTCTAGAAAGTAATCCCACATTTACCACTTTCACATCTGTTTCAATTCATTTAATAAATATGGAAGTGTAATACACAGTGGTGACACATCACATTTCACAACAGTTAGTACATCATTAGGAAAGTGAGAAATACAGGGGAGGAATAACCTGTGAATAAATAATCTAGAGAAAAAATGACAAACTGGAAATGGAAAGCAGGGATTTGGCTTAGTAATTACGTCCATTTGGCCCTAACAGGAAATTGGTTTGAAGTTCTGAAGGCAGCCAAAACTTGGGAGCAGGTAGAGAAGCTAAGGAAAGTTGAAGGCTGAAACCTTTCTGAGCAGTTATCCCGGTGTCCTGCCTCACCAGCCTATTCTGGGGCTTCACGTTTCTCTGTGCTCCTCTCTGCTAATCCATCCCTCAGGGAGTTTTTTGTGATTCTCACAGGCAAAAACAGCTGCAGGTAAATGAAACTGCCAAGCCTCACCCAGCCTTTGAATTGCACACAGCAAGTTCAGTTCATTGCCATTTCTCACTAGTGATACAGTTTGGCACACAGGGATAAAGAGATGTGAGACAGGATTTTTAACTCAGACATACCTGTACCACAGTATGTTCTGCATGGGTAATAACAACCCTTGGCCTCCTCTGGCAGCTCTCCAGGAATGCTGTGTAAATGGAGGTAGGTAGAAATTCTGCTGGCTTGAATAGCAACTAGATTGCCACCAATACCTGAAATGCAAAGGGAAACCAATGAAAAATGCTCAAGTATTTTTTTCCTCTAGCAGGCAATATTTTTGCACATTTACCAACTTCCTCTGTGTTTATCACAGTACCTTGCAAACAAAAGCCAAAATGAAAAATATCTTTAGAATGTATATTAGTTGTAGACAGGCTGCAAGTCATTAAAATCAGTCCAAAAAATGTGGGCTACAGTTTAATGTATCACTGGGAATTTGGAGATCAGTTTTGAACCATGGCAAGTGCAGAAAGTCCAAAAGGTTCAATCTTATGCTTTCTCATAGGTGAAACTCTTTTTTATCACTGCCTCGTCTTTGGAAACCCCTCTTGGATCACCAGAAGTATGACATAGTTGCACCACTGCTGGATTACCTCCACAGGGGAGTATTTTTGGCCAGGGTAAGTAATGAAAGCTCACTAACACAAACATAAATGCAGATTTTACACACACAACCACAGGGCCAGAGAAGGCTTCAAGAGTTAATATATTTATTCCCCTCTGAGACAAAGCATGAGTAACTATAGCCTTCCGCCACTTTTAACTCAGGCTGAAAGAGGAAGATGAGTGTCAGAAGAGCTGATTGTTAAAAGAATGGTAGTGATAGAGATTCTAGTTTCTTTCTGAAAAGGGGCAACGAGTACAAGTTGTACTGGCAGAGTATTCACCTCAATATAAAAAATAAATCTGTTAGGGTGAGAAAAATTCAATGGAACAACCACCCCAGGGACATGGTGGAGTCCACTTCACAGGAGATTTTCTAGATGTGACTGGAGCAGGTGCCAGAAAATCTCATCCAGGCTGCCTTTCTCACATAAGGTTGAGCCAGATGATATTTCGAGGTTCCTTCCACTCTAGGCTGTTTCACGTCCTGTGAATTTTTACTTCAATGAACACAAAACTAAAACAACTTGTTATATCCACACTGCAGAGTGCAGTAACATAAAACCCTCCTAATATTATACTCTGTTGCTGTCTACTTGCATATCAAGCACATGCTTTTTCTTTCCCTGATTTGGATGCTTTACATAGCAATGGGTTGGTCTGAGAAGATGCAGAAGTAATGCAGATCTTGTCCCCACATCAGAAGGAGAAAGGCCTTGTTTATTGTAGTTGAATTATTTTGTTTATCTGATGCTTAGGGCTTTGTCTAGTTGCAGAACAAGTATTTGTGGTGAACAGAAGGTACTTTTCCCAAATTCTTTTGGTGATTACAGAGCGGTTAGCACAGAGATCTAATACTGAGATCTGAAAGATGTCCTGCCTCACTGCTAGTTAAATATAATAAATGGCTGAAGCTAACAAGAAAGGCCTTTTAAGAAAAATGTCAGATACAAATCAGGAAATGCATGTTCCCAGTCAGGAGAAACAGGGATAAAAGAAGAACTACCAAAAGGCTGAGTGAGAGTTTGCAAAGAAAATTAAAACAGTAGTAGATCTTTCTTCAGATGAACTACAAGAAAAGTACCAAAGTAAGGAATTTATCTAAATTAGGAGAGATTTAAAATTATTAAAACTAATCTAAATAGGACTCAAAATGTGTCCTTCCATTGAGAATAATAAATTAGATATTTTTGACTAGGGAGAATAAGATACAGAAAGAGAGGCAGAAGTAAAATTAAGGATCAATGTACTACATTTGGAAGGGGATCAGATAACTTCAATGACTGAATTATGAAAAAGCTGTCATGTAAAACCTCTTCTTAATAGAGCTACAAAGTGGAGATAGTGCCATATGACTGGAAAACATGAAAGTTTCTGCTAAAAGTGAGGCCATAAAGGCAATCTGGGTAATTACAATCAGGCTAACAACTGCAATAATTGATTTATGCACAACAATATTAAGAGAAAAAAATACTAAAATATTCTACCACTATTTGCTTCTCTTATAGCACTACAAAAAGAAATAAAAGACAGAAGTACATAGGGCTGGTTTCAGTTTTTTAGCAATGCACCTACAAACCACTTTGGCACAACTCTCTAGATTTTAAACATTTTCTAGGGTGTATGTAGTTTTCTTTTGTGACTGATAATTATTTGCTTCAACAAATTCAGACATGGAAATATAACAGGTGATCTGGACTTTTTTCCCATAGTTAACAATACAGGAAACTGAATGACATAAAAGAATTAAGGAAGATAGAAATAAATTCACTTGAAACGGTGATTAAAAAATCTGTCTGAACAACAGACATTGACAAGTCTATGAAAGAAGGTGTAAGATTGGTTGTCAATCCTTTGATGGAAAGCTATTAATGACAAACCTTTTCACTTTTATACCCATCATTTAGAGAAAGTATTCCCCAAGCCCTATTGCTCATGTAGATAGCAAGAAATTACTGACACGTATCAAAAATTATGCTAAAAGAAACTGGCCAACCATGGAATACAGGTAAAAGAGGTGAGAGCTGCTCTGCAAAGGAAGTTGACAAGCTAACCAGAACAGCCAGTGCAGAGTGTGATTTCAAGAGGTGTAACTAATTACAGTTGAGTTGAACAATCTATTTTAGCTAAATGAAAATGAAATATTTGTATGTTTAGCAAAATTATTCTAAATTATATCACTAATACTAGTGATATAATTTGAACTCACAGAAGATAGTCAGGTATAGTGAAGTGTAAATGCTTCTAGAATCCATAGTCTCAGTCTCAGCCAGCCAACAATGTATGGTGGTCACAGCAGCAGTGACACTGTATTTTAGTTCTGCTCATTCACTATTCAATTTCAATTCCTAAAAACTTGTTTTTGAACTTTTGGGCCAATTTCAACCACATCTGACACAAGGACAGACATGGTAACTACTTCCAGGCATATTCAAACAATCTACCAAAAACAAAACAGCGACTAGATGAATAAAAGAAAAGATTCAAAGCCATGTCCTTAGTGAGACAAAGACAGTAATATGAGCTATATAGTTCATGGCATAAGCGTAAGCAGGCCAGCTGGCAAGTCAGCACTCAGCTTGGAGAGAGGCATGATGATGCCTCTTGCTCAGCCAGCAGATCAGTGAGCCAGAAGATGAATGGCAATGCTGTGGAAAGCAGAGAGAAAATGGAGATGATGTTGTGAGCAGTGGGTATAGCAGAAACATGAGACAATACGGAGTACCACAGGCTGCAAAGACTGTCTAAAAACCATAGGATACAAATGAGAACAGAGTCAGGTCTCACTATTCTGCTGGTCACCGAATGACTCGTATAAGGCTGAATGAATCACTTCATATGTACAGAGATATTCAGTTTGTTTGGTAACAGCAGCTACTGTGCATGTGCAATAACCATCTCAGCTACACCAGATTAATCAGATCTCTGCAAGAAACAGAAAACAGATAAAACTGCATAGGTTGGCAAGGTGTCGATATGCAAAACTGATAACTTCTCAGCATCTTCTGAATGTATAAAATAGTCACATGCTCAGTAGCATGTCAATAGCTGCTCATATTATTAAAAGCTCTGTGGATGTATATGAGGACTGTTTACATCAACATTTGATTAATCCAGAAATTTTTCTCCTCGAAAACACTACTGCAGCCACCATAGCAAATACTATACTACAACATAGGGGGAAACAATTTATTTTAAAAGTAAAATCCAGCAATTATTACTTCATTCCTCTCAGAAGAGAAAATGTGTTTTACTTCAATATGAGAGTGCTGCTTGGTCAATAAGCAAAGACGTTGTCTGCTAAAGTGCAAAGGATGTCACACTGACTTAAAACTCTAAAGGAAATTTAAAACCTCATCATTTTATTAAGGCAGTTAAGGGCTAAGAAAGAATATTTCTTGTAAAAATTGTTGTTACAGGTCTTTTGTCTAACAAGCACAGGAAACCATATTGAAAATAGAGCCAAAACCATACCATGTATTTGCAAACAGGCCTATGGGCACAATTCTATTAATCATCATCTAGTAAAAAGAAATTTTTCTAACAACAGAACTAATCATGCTATTCAGAAAACTACATTAAAGCACTTTACATCAATGACTCTTAATCGTTCAAAGCAAATCTGTGTCTCATAACTCAGTGCAGGTAAAAAAATGAGAAGTTAAGGGAAGCTGGATCTTGCTGATCTCAGTCTGAGATCATCCCCTCCTCTGGGTAATGCACTGGGCTGGTTTTTCCCTCTGATCTTACATTGAACTTTTTGATAAATAGAGTAAGGTTTTTCAGGGAATACTGGAAGGAGTAGTTGATAAACCAGAGGGCTGTGCTGCCATTCCGAGGAAACTGGATAGGATGGAGAGCTGGGTAAAGAGAAATCTCCTGGAATTCAACATAAGGAAGTGCAAAGTCCTCCATCTGAGTAGGAATAACCCCATGCATCATGTTATTATTAACCAGTAAAAAATCATGATTTAGGTACTTGTTTAATACAAGGGGACAACTGTACAACAGGCAACATAAAATGTTCAGAGCAGTATTCAACTACCTATATATATGAACCCTGTCAGTTCCCATTTCATTCTTCTTTTTTGTTCATTTCCTTAGATACATATAATTGAAGAATTATTCCTGTAGGAAACTGCCTCAAATTAAAGTATTGAGAGCACCAGATAAAGTGAACATACTCAGCTTTAATGACCACTGCTATGACTGTTCATGAAAATATAAATAGTTGCATGATGAGGCACCTAAAAAATTGTGTAAGAACAGGCAAAGCAAACCTGAGATTAAAGACTTTTAGAAACCCAGTTCTATGGACAGGGATTAATCAGCCACAGAATAATGTGTTGTTCCCAAGCAGCTATAATACAGGTTGTGCAATGGGCCTAAAATCAATTAATATCTACATAAGGGAAAAATCAGGCCAACATAATTCCCAAACTGATCTTTCTTGTAAATCTATCTAAGAGAGGGAAGGCTAGAAGATTCTCATTTTTGCACATTCCTGAGCACAATCCACAGTTCAAAATAGTCAGTTTTGCCAAACAGGCTTTTTTGAAGTTCAACATTTGCATCACAAAAATGAAATTAAAAGGATGAAAAAGAATCTCAGTTGCAATGGTGACTGAAAACTCTAAATTTTGCAATAATCATCTTATTTTTCAGAAAATGCAAGATGAATGCCCCAACCTCTCTACCATTAACATTTAAAAATCCTGTTTTATGTGAAGTGTAATACTTAGATTATTGCAAGTGAAATACTTAGATTAGAAACCCAACTAGCTACCTCTTCATATGGGCTTTTCTTCATTTATCTTCCATTTTATTTTGAAGCATGTGTTTTAGTACTTTCAAATGTTTGGGGGAAAGCAGATGGAAAATATTAGCTTTACCTAGATGGACTTTTTTTAGGAGAAAGCTTTATTATATATGCAACTATTACATTCCAAGTTTGATTTGACTCATAAATAATTCCTTTCATATGACTAATAAAAAATGTCAAGAAATGAAAATGCTCTGGTTATAACTGCGTTGTGAAAACAACACCATGATTACTGAAATCTTCTAAAAAATTTACAATTACAAGTAAGACTTAAAAGAAAGATCACACAGTGAAAGTATATGCAAATTTACATGTACAAATTGGCAACTAAAAGATAGTAAATCTATTACCCAATAATGCATCAGAAGAAAATAATAAAAATCAAAACCCTCCTCCTTATTAACACCAAAATAAAGACTGAATTATACAGTTCTCATACAGTAGCGGTGACTTCTGAGACTAACACATTCTTTCCAACTCAGGATGCAGAAAAATTAATTTCTACCCAGCCAAATTGCTCTACTCTCATCCAGGTACACTAATGTTTTCCCTTGTGATTTACAGAGGCAAATTTCAGATGCTCAGCTCTCTGAGACAATGGTTATATTATAATCAAAACATCACTCAGTTGTGGGAAAAATCAAAGTACAATTATAATTAAAGAAATATAAATAAATAGTTATTAAAAGCTGGGGTTTTTTGAGGAGGAAGAATGGTTTCTTGGGGTTTTTTTTCCATATTCTCCAAAACAATTTACAGTAAAAGCTCTCTGAAAAACCTAAAAGTCTGTCATTCAATTTACCCTACTAACAGATAAAAAAGGGATGTTTTGGGGAATGTTTTTTATAAGCTTAATTTTCATCTCCCAGACAACTGGCATTCACTAAGTCTTGTATTAAATTTTCCTATATGTGTTTCTCATATTCCTCAATAGCTATGTATTCCCACCAGACAGCAAATAATTTTAAGGTATGACCAGCCAAAGAGTAAAAAATATTAGAACAGGTTTGTGTTACCTTTAAAGAGTACTGCTTTAAAACACCTGCAAAGGAAAGTTTTTTGATATGAAGCATTTCCAAATTTCAGGTGTTTTAAGAATTAATTTGCAGAATTGTCATTCTTTAAGGTGCATAAAAATGGGGTAGAGTCTACTGACATGTTGGTTATTACCCAGTAACTTCTGAAATGCAAATACTTAGAAGATATCTCAAAATATTTTGTATAAACACATAAAAATGGAGAGGAAAGTGGCTTTATCCGGTAACTGCACCTTAGCTCATTTCTGTTGCATATTCAGAAGCATGTAATATTATCTTTTTTTTTCTGCACGAAAGGAACTCAGTTACTTGCAAATTGCAAATCCTGAGCCAAATTCAACATGCTGTGATGCCATAAGAGGATTTGCAAATTTTAATTCATGAAAAAACACAACTCAAAATCAACTCTAGAATGAAGCATAGCGACAGTTGGGCTTAGTTATTTTATTCAGAATTTCAGTACATAAAAGAGACATCTAAATCTCAAATAGTCTGCAAGTTGCCTGAAACAACAAAATCATTTGTTTATTTTCAAAAAGCAGAGATGCAATTTAACCCAGCCAACCATAGAATTAAACATGTGTCTAACAGTGAGAAAAATAGAAAAAACAGATGTGAAATATGTTTGGCCACTGGCTGTAAAGCTGACTATAAATGCCTTTTTGCTTAAAAAATATTTTAATGTTTTGGGCAAATACTTGTAGGTATTGTTAATAGGAGTGGGAAACTTTGAGTTTGCTCAAGTTTCAGACCAGAGTATCTTTAGAATATTGAATATCTTCAATATTCTAAAATATTTATGGCTCCACAGTGTAAGACATGATTAAAGTCACTTGTCTCACATCTAAGAATAAGCAAACTATCTAGGCAGGACTTGAATGAAACCTACTTAATGGTGCACAGGAAACCTATCTAACACCTGAGCGTTTTGCAGTCAATATTGTTCAGGTGTTCAAGATACAGCAAATGGCCCTGAAAAAACAATGACAGCTTGAAATTCTGGACAAATTTACAATGTCCTCAAATTTTGGCTGGACAAATTCCCAATAGAAAAGAATATTTCTTTCAGTTTTCCCTGATGCTTTTTTCCCCCAGGTTTTCTGTCCCATAGGAGCAATAAACTTTAAGGTAAAAGAAAATAGAAGAGGGAAACCCTCAATTTCTTTCAGCACTTAGGCTTACAATGAGAATTCCAAGGCCAAGAAAGATAGAGAAAACTTTCTGCAACACTAATATTTTAAAAGCCATCTGTTAAGTGACCTAACACACCTTTCATGTCAGTAAATGAATGTCAACAGATGTACTTTTTTAACTGAAGAACTGCCTTACCCCCAGTTTACTACACTGTACTGACCAGCAATATCAGGAGAGGTTAACCCAGGAGAGGCTAATCTAACAGCAACCCAAAAAATTACCTACCTATAGTTTCCTTTTCCAGGAGGTGTACCATAAACCCCTGCATCCTCTACAAAGTACATATATTCTCTGTATTTTCCAATAGAAATGCCTCTACCTTTAGAATTCTGAGTCAAGTGTGCCTCTTGCAATGCCAGCCTCCTGGAAAGTCTCTTTCCCTCCTTGTCTGCTGAAGCAGCCTCAGCTTCCCCTCTCTTACACCTGCCTAACTCTTCAAGGACGTTTTGACCTGTCAGCTAAACCTCCAGGGCTCTAGGTTTTGGCTAGTTCTTTTCCCATAAAGACAGTTCAAAAGCATGTAGGGGCATTGCGCCTTAATACTGGTTTGGGTACACCTGCCTAAAAAGAAAAAAGAACAATCCTCTTCTCTTAGGAAGCAAATCCAGGGGGTTAACCAAAAAAGGACTACTATAAGAAAAGTTACAGGTGTAAAGCAGAAAAAAAGCTGGAGATCAACACATCTGCCTTGCCTTTTAGGTATCTGGAAATCAAAATGAAACACACAAAAGTTAGACGCAAGTATTTACAATTTTGAATTAATAGAAAGGCAAGGGACAGATAGGGAAACCTAATGGCTGAAGTGTAAAATTTCATTTACAGTTAGTAAGGAACTCAAGTTGCAACATGGAAGTGTTTCACATTAAAAGTAAGAAGAAAGGAAATAGAGGGCCTCAGTGAGAAAGAAGAGCAAGCATGGGCAGAGCCACATGCTCTGCTGAAGACTTAAATAGTCTGTTTCTTTTGTCTATTGCCTTCATAAAAATGGTGATACCTGATCACAAGTAAATAAATACTAGAGCCTGGGAGTTATGTTAGATTTACTGCATCTAGAGAGCTAAATGAACAATCCATAAAGTATTAGTCATCATTTTTGCAAAACAATTATTTTGGAGGTTAGAGAATACCTGAGGGCTGTGATGGAGAAAACAGAAAATATATCTTTAAAATGGGTCAAAAAGGATGATGCAGAGAATTTGTTTATCAGTGAAATTTATATTCCTGCATAAGAATTAGAGCGAATTATTAAAAAGACAATATATAAGCATCCAGAAGACATGAAAGCTGTAAAACAAGGGCTAACATGAATTTACCAATAACATGTTTCTGTCAAAGCCTCTAACTGAACATCTTGTTTAATGTTTGTAGCAATAGATCTACTAACTCTCAACCACAGTAAAGCTTATAAAATGTTTAGGTACTGTCCAGTGTTACATTTCCATTAACAGTGTCTGTAAAATTAATTATATCAAGGCAATGTGGTTCAAAACTAAAATCCAGCGACCATATTAACATCTTATTATCAAGGTGGAAAAGAAGTGGCCATAATTAATTTCATTTATAGCTTAGGAAATAGAATAGAACATACTCGTATGAAATTTGCAAGGGCAAACTTAAGTTAAAACAGAATCATCTTGGTAACTAGAGAAATGGTTTTAATAACAATACATAAAAGTGCAAATTAGTGTAAGAAATCAAATGGAAAAACACAAAAAGGAGAAAGAACAGCTAGACAGCAACACAGTAGAAACAGAGCTGGTGATTATAGTTGTTGCAAACTAAATAGGTATCAACTTTGTGGTACTGTACTAGGAAAGAAATTTTCAAACTGCACCAGCCTAACAAGATATAAACTATTCTTCTGAAATTTGGCTTGTTCTTATCCTTAGGAGGTAGAACACCTAACAATGGAATTTCCACAAATTCATTCTTTACTCATCTCAAAAGTGCATACCAATCACCAGAAACAGCACACATTTATCTTGAGAAATGTATTTACTTGCCTGTAAGTATGCTTCTTAGTTCTTACATCTACATACATTACAGGTGCATAGTAAATTATTGTTTGAAAATTTGTCTTGGATGTTCAGGGAAAAAAACCCTTTGAAAAAAAAAATCTACATTTTTCAAGACATAACTGCTTCAATATAATATTTTATAATTTAATATTTGAATATCCTCTTTCAATATTTACACTTTCAGTTTCTTAATGCATACTTGAGGTTTCTACTTCTCACATTCTCTGTTATGTTTCGGTGGTTGTGGTGAAAACAGGAAGCACTTCTCAGGTGTTCAAATAAACAGCTGTTGACATCATATTCAAAACTTGAAATTAATATTCCAGACATTAATTAGCACAAGAGAAATTTACTGTAATAGACAAGTCTCAAAACAAGGTATATCAATTGATACATAGTAGCAATTAATCCTGTCAGTCTTACCATTAATTACCGGGGTATAAACAACAATTCCAACCAAGTTAGGATCAGATACTGTCGTGTCCAGAATAAGGCCACCAATACTGAAAGAAAAGTACAACATTTAAAATAAGGCAAGCAAGATCATTAAATATAAGATCATTACCTCATTCTGAGCTACAGACTAACATCACAATAGCTATTCACTTATTAAAACTGGCTCTTGTATAACAAAGACCACAGAGCATTAGCCAATTCCTCTACTTTTAAGATTCCTAACTTTCATTGGATTAAATAATCCCTTAGATCAGAGGCAAAATTCCAAAATCTAAATTCTAGAGGGTCTTAATTGTGTCTCCCAAGTACAATCAAGTAAGATACACAGAGATACAGGAGGACAATCAAGATGCTTCCATACAGCAAGACAAAGAGACCTACCTGCTAATAATCATGGCAGTTATAACAGGCTCCCATCCTGAGCGGAGGACAGTTCTGGTAGCTGGGTGTTTGGCAGCTATGACAATCCCCATTGGAGTCAGAGCCAAAAAAAAGGCACCAACCAAAGGAGATACATAGTAATATGTCTCTAAAATAATAATAAAGAAAAAAAAACCTTCTTTTATTCTCCAAATATTCCTACATGTTTTATGCATTTTGTTTATATCCAAATTCTTAGCATATGTACACTTCCTTCTTCCCAAAGCAGGTAAAATGGTAATCCTTCCAGAAATAGCATTTCTAAAAAGATTCAAGCACGATGTGCAAAATTGAGACATTTATATCAGTAGCTCAGTTCTTTCATAGCCAGTCTGAGTCTGAGAACTAACAGGCAATTCTGCTGCCTGCCCCTACCCATGACAATTCCATCCTATTTCATAGGAATACAACTGCAAACACTGGTGAGTACCCTCATAAAGCTGAGACTGTAAAGTAAACAGTTGCTTCCACAGAAAGAACACTACTTTTTTCTCATTAATTGGTTTTATAATCCCATCTTCACAGAAGCTACTACAGCGATTCAAAACTTCCTAATTCAACAGTGAGGTAAATAATGGAAAATTTATCCTAATGGCAAATATATATGTATAAACTGTGCAAATATTCCATTTTTAAATATTTGTTTTATGAGAAGTGTGGTCATGTACCTAATGCTAAAACACATTTTGATAGAACCTTCAAAATTTAGACAAGTCTTACAGCAAAATATATTTTGAATTAACAGGTTGAAATAATTAATATAGATCACACAAACACTACCAAAGAGGAGTAGTTGGTATATAAAAAATATCCTCACCCATGTGTTATGGCTTATTACAATGGTTGCAAATCCAAGCAATTACTATTTTGATATTACCATAGTAGATCTCCTGAAAGAATTGCTGTAGAATTTTTAGAAGTTACTACCCTTCTGCATCAAGTAACAACCTCTGCAGCAGCGCCAGAGGCTGTAAGGTAACTTACATGACATAGTAAGTTATGTTTCCCTGGGCTAACTAAAAGTAGAAAGCTTTTAGAGTGAGAACAAGACAAAGATCAAGAGAGAAGTAATTTTTTCCTGTCCTTATCTAATTATTCTACAGTGTATTATCTCCCTCTTCCTTTGTGGGGCCTTTTTTTCATCCTTTCACCTCTTTTTGTGACCTAAGAGGTGGACCATGAGAATACTCAGCTCCAGTCTAACTCCTGGGAACAGTGAGGGACTTTTTTTCTTAAATCTATGGCAGACTCTACTAGTAGAACATCTTACTACAAAAATATAAAAATATTAACCCTGAGATGCATCTTTAAAGAAAAGGATAGACATCTTCCTCTTCATATTTAATTCACAGAAGAACCAAATGTATTTTACAATAGCAGAAGAATGGGAAGAGAAAATAAATTAATTCTTTTTTAAAGCTCATTTTACTCAATTTTTCTTAGATTTATAGCAGGCAGCCTACATGGGAAAAGACATCTTGCTCAAATAATGCAGCCTCTATTAGAAATTAGAGGTAAACTGGAAATGTACTGCTTCAAAACAACTGCTAAGAACCTGAAAACAATAATGTGAATCACACACTTTTTCTTCTCAGCCTGGATCAAATATATATGAGAGCTAAATGCATATTCTGTGAGAAAAATGGAAAGCTTTAAAGAAGTTTCCAAATCATTACTAACAAATAACAGGCAACACAAACCTCCACATTTAATTTACTGAGTGTTCCTATTCCAGAGCACTTCTTGCGCTCTGTTGGAGGGGATGTGCCAGGTTCCAGCGACAGTCCTGGGGAGCCCTCTAGTGCTTTTCCCCAGCTATTTGACAAGGATTCACAGCTCTTTTCCGGGAGCTGTTAAGAACTGTTAACTTTTCACTATTTGAATCCCCATGTTTGATAACTTTGTCACTATTTTTGAAGCACTTAGATGAACCTTTAAAAAATTATATATATGATAGTGGCCAAACAGGGTGTTCCATCTGGCCCTGGCCTGGGTAAAAATGCTTTCCCCTGTCTATTCAGGGTATGCCATAAAGTATTGTAACAACCCAAAGGCTGTACACCTCTGTTACAGACAAACATAAAACTTGTACACAAATAATTTCCATCCTTCATAAAACTTGTACACAAATAATTTCCATCCTTACAGTCTTTTTTGTCTGAAAACAACTCATCCCTTGCAGAGAGCAGCCAGAAAGTTATTTTTGTTTCTGACCATTTCATCAGTTAGGCTAATAAATCACAGGGGAAAATGGTTAATTCTGAACACAGTCCAGAAGTGAATCCCACCAGTTTCATTACTACCCTATAAACTGAAGATTTCTTATCAACATTCCCATTGTGCTTCTTATTTGAGCATTGAGAAAGCAGGGAAACATAGCAAGAACATAAGAATATCTGTGCTGGATGAGGCAAAGTTCTCACCTAGTCTAGTATCCTTTGTCAGACTATGGTCAACAGTTCAATTATGGGGAGAAGAAAATAAAAATGACAGGTTTAGAGTGATGGTTCTTTCAGCATTCTCTGCCAGCTTTTGCTGTGGTTTGCATCAGGGATTCCATCTCTCAAGTCTCTACATCTGTCTCGTCAATGCTTCTCAAAGGATTTCTTTCTGATGGTTTATCCAAAGTTTTCTAAAATCACTCTAGACCTCTTAATAGATCACAACATTAGAGTTTCACATCCCATCCATGTATTGTGTAAAAAAATTTCTTTAACTTTTTTAACCTGCTGCCTAATCATTCTCTGAATGTCTCTTGTCTGCCATTCACAACTTGATATACTTCCCCCGAGCAGAGGGTGCTCCATACTTTTATTCCTTGTTACTGTTTCATAGTTCAAACACATGTATCTTGGAGACCACCTGTTTCCAAGGTCTTCCATGGCATGTCCTTTCTTTAGAAAGACTTTCTTGTTTCCAAAACCAAAGAATACAAAGACATTGAAAAAAAAATACAAAGAGCAGAATGAGCAACTAGATAATTACATACTTCACCAAAAGAGAAGTATTTCCAGAAGACATTATAGATAGAAAATCGGGAGTAACTCTTGGAAGCATATTGATTCTTACCCCTACACATGTAGGATCTGCTTTCCAGCTGCAGTGGGAGAGCAAAATGTGAGTGGCAACAACAGCTATTAAAGCAGCAAAGGATCAGTTCAAACTGTACCCACTTCTTTTTTATTCCTCCGAGATACATTAGGATATCTGTATCTAGAAAGGTAAATTTCTACAAATGTGTCAAAGGGAGAAAGAAGTCCAAGTTTCTTTATCCATCTCTTTTGGGGGGGCTGAGTGCTTTTTGTTTAGCTTGATGGATTAACAGGAATAGAACGTTATTGGACTTTCTCTCATCAGAAGAAAAGAAAGAAGAAATGCTAAAAAATATCTTCATCAATTTTCACTGTGAATTTACAAACTTCCTTAAAAGACGCATTTAAAAGAAGTATTTGAGAAATACAGTTATTAGAATGTAATAGGAAGGATTTAAATATAGTTATGAAACAAAAAATACTATTTAAATTTTAACAAAAATACAGAAAATATTGAAAAATACTTCTTTTGCACGCTGATACATTAAAGTTGACATCACGACAACGCTTTGTAAACATGAAAAACCAAACACTGAAAAAAACCCTGCAAGTCACACTATGGCAGCTTGAGTCTTATTAGATATTTTTTCTGGCTGATGTTGTAATACAGAAAATTGTTGTAAATATGAAAAATTTTGGACAATGAGCTGTAAAGACTATATGTGATGATATCAGCATCTCTGGTAAATTATGGACAACACAATATTTTATCTGTGGTATATTATAGTGTAATTGCCTACAATTATGTCTTTTAAAACACAATAAACTTCTAATTGTTTCTATGGAATGAGTTAGTTGCAGAAATGATTTCATTTTTAATAAGGCTCTTAACATTCTTTTCCCACTGTGAGAAAATGTTTTCACATTATTTGTTTCTTCATTATTATGGTTTGTATTTCACACGTAGGTTGCCTGTGATATTGTCAAAGTCTTTCAAATATTTCTAGATTGTGCCGAAGTTCAGGTTAGTGACTTCTATGATTTATTAAAATAAAGGGGAAAAAAATCATGGTACTCTAAGATTTAGCATTTAATGGTATAAATGTTGACAAAAAAGTAAGTCAGACTAAAAGGTTTGCTGAAGTTCTCCCTCCCAGCTTTCTCCCCACCCTCCTAACCCAAAAAAGGTTCCTAGGGAATCATACACATTTAAAAGCACACTTACCAAGGCAAGTGTACAGACCCTGACTTATCCATGCTAATATGGCAAGGGTGATGAGATCGCCAAAACTTGCTGCAATAGGAGTGGCAACGTTGTCAGGATTAATACCAGTCTTCTTAGATCCTACAATAACTCCAACCATTATTACTCCTAAATTCAACAAAGAAGACAATACAGTAACTGCATCCACTGTTGCAATTCCCCGAAAAATTCCAAGACTATGACAATTTCAAACTTAATGAATAAGAAGTCAGTGCTTTTTTTCCCAGGATTATTGGTCTTCCTTCCTGATTGACGACTGTGTTTTTAAGTTTTAGCCATTTAAAAAAATGAACATATACATTTTTAAAAAATACAGTAAGCACACATAAAACCCCAACAACAATCTGTACAATGAACTACTTTGCTTATTAGAATAATAAGCTGCTTTGCTTTACTAGAATTATTGCACTATTGTCAGGCAGCTCTTTCCTGAAAAAAAAAAATGGAGTGTATCCTTTTCCAATCCAACTTCAGTCAGGTGAAATTACCTTTCAGTAACTTCAAGAACAACCTTTCAGTAACTTCAAGTAACAACCAAGAAGCTACATAATAAATTAAACCAAGACAACATATAAAAAATATTACTTGCTACACACTTGAAAAAATTAGAGGTGCTAATTTGTATTTTTTCTATAAACATCAACACTAACTTTTGAAGAGTAATCTCCTTGCAAAATGTAAGTGGCTACAAAAAAAAAATTCACACTGTTACAGTCTTTGGCACAACCTGAGTAACTTCCCTCTCATCAGATATTACGTATAAGAAATTCAACAGTATATGCTATTCTTTAAGTTATATTATAAATGGTATGCGACATTAGGAGTTCACTTTCAGAGAAACTAAAGAGTTTAAGGAGTTTAAGGATTTATAAGGAATTGTAGCCTAAGGAATTACAGACACCAGGAAATTCTCTAAAGAATGAACTGGCATGATACTGTAGGGTAAAAATATATTGCAAAAGCACCTATTTCACATGTAGGAGAATAAAGCTTAGAAAGTAGTTTCCTATACTGACACATCACCAGGACAAAAAACAAAGTTTCTCTTCATGTCCAAATCATACATGAGAAGTGTAAAACATGCACTCATGTTCCACAGTTTTCTCACTGCCCTTAATTTTGCACATGATCAAACTCAGTGGCTTTCTAGTCTCTAAAAAACATGTGTGCTCTTAATTCCATGCAAAACTTTAACTGTTTTGTAATTTTCACATAAGTAAGGATAGCAAAGCAGTAAAACAAGGAATTTCACTTGACTTACTATTCTTAAGACTACTGACCGTGTATTTTCATTAAGAACATGTCACAAGTAGAGCTACTTTCCTCGTCCCCTTCCTGTCCATTAAGTACAATGTTTTATAGTTAAATGTTTCCTGACAATTACGAAGAGAATTAAATTCATCATGCCATATTGCTCCAGACAGACACTGGCACTGTTTGTAGAGCTGGACTTGAACTTGGTCCAAACTTTCAAATAATGAGCCAAATTGTTCCCTCAGCCACAAAGCAGAGCACAAACTAACACACAAGCAGCATGGGCAACCTGGAACTCTGAATTCAGTTAAGCTAACATCCAGGATCACTTCAGTGTAATTATAAACAAGTTTTACCTGCTTAGTAGTAAGAATATATTTTGTACATTAATGAATATAGAAGGCGGGGGAGAAGTTGTGCATCATAGTAGGTAAATTCTCAAGACCACGCTTTTTTGTTTAGATATGCTCAGCAGGTCATGAAAATCAAAAGCTTTTCAAAGACTATGAGAGGAGAGGAATGCAACATGCCCACCTATATGGAAATTGCAAACTGCAATATCCTCAGCTGCTTTTCAGATGTATTGTACCTTACCGGATTGAAATTCTAAAGGAATAGCAACATAAGACACATTCTGCATCCACAGAAAAATAAATACCACAAAATAATACATGTACCCCCTTTACCTTGCAAAAGAGAAGCTATGAAGGCAGTTGCTACACTGCTAGAACACAAAAGGACTGAATGATCAAAGCGGTATTTGCCCTCTGGAATCCAGCCCAATATTACTGCTGCCACTGCTGCCAGAAAACCAACCACTGTTGCCTGAACCTGGAAAAGAAAGTGAATTAATAAAATAATTGACACACTTAGAAGGACCACAGAATCATTTTCTGCTAGCCTTTCCTCCTATCTACATTAACATGCCAGGTATAACAGGAGCATGCTCATCTATTTTGTAGAGAGGATAACAAACTTGGATGACGAAGAAGAAAAATCTTAGGCCAGCAGAAAGGGCTATAGCAGCATTTTACAGACTCCAGAATAGCAAAAGTTGTCACAGACGTCTTTTCACAAAAATCCTTTCTTTAGGATTTTCCCTTCTGGGAAGCTGAGGCCCCAGAAGGGGAATGTAAACAATGGTTATCTGCTGCTGTGGAATGCAACAGGTGCACCTGTGATTGGCCCATGTTGGATGTGGCCAATCAAGGACCGAGCTCTCTCTGGGACAGAGTCAGAGAGAGCTCCTTTGTTATTCATTCTTCTCTATTCTTAGCTTAGCTAGCTTTCTGAGAACTTTTCCTTCTATTTCTTTTTAGTATAGTCATAATGTAATATATATCATAAAATAATAAATTAAGCCTTCTGAACATGAGGTCAACATTCTCGTCTCTCTCTTCACCCTGAAAACCCTTGTGACCACTGTGACAAGAAGTAAAATCAGGAAGAGGAGCTCAGAAATTACAAGAAGCCAATGCCTAAAGAAGCTTCCAAACCACTCAAAATAGAGAAGTCACAACATAAATATTTCACCCGTGTTTTAGGAATGTTACATTATAACTTATGAATCAGTTCTCAAGAAACAGCTGCTTTGGAGAGCATGCACTCCTTTCCTCAAATGACCCAGCTATCTAAAATACTGTTTATTATCCAAAAGCTCTATCCCACACTTCCATTAAACATCAAATCAAATGCAAATATGGTACTAGAAACATTTGAAAGGTCAAATTTCAAGGGCTTTACCAAATCTGAAATTTTTCTCTAATCACCCTCAGATTCTTTCTCAGGGAAAATTATAAAGGAAATACCCTTGGTACAGTCACAAGCAATACTTTAGTTCTTTTTCTAATAAATATAAGCTCATATTGTTTTAGAGAAGAGTCAGTGTAGTAGAGCTACTCTCCCATTAACAGTGTTCATCTCCATACTTAACAATGTTTGTGATTTAACTTTTTCAATAACTTCACTCACAAGAATTAATCCAATAAACCCATTATATTTACCTGTTTCAAGGCCAAATTGCCAATTATTAGGTTCCATTTCTCAATGGGAGAATCCATTTTTCCAACATTTACCTATCAAAATCAGAAGAGAAATTCAGACATTTGGGGTTAAAATGGTATTATTTGAAAATACCCAGGAATAATTCAGCTAATAAAATAAGACACTTTGATTAAAAACAAGATATGTCTTTAAAAAGTCAAACAATGCTTTTGATTTTACATCATACTTACATTATCCTTCCAAAAGCAGCTAAATTTGATGGAGTTTTACATAGTAACTTATCTACCATTAGCTTGCTCTGCAAGATATAAGAGCCATCTTAAATTCTTGGAATGTCCAAGAACCGCCAGTGATTAGATCAGTAGCTGGAAGATCCCTTTACACTAAGCTTGTTCCTATGGTGCTTAAATTCTGAAAATAAAAAATGCTAGAATCTAATACTGTTTAGCATTCTAACTTTTCATTTATACAGTACAGCTAGAGATTTCTGATGCTAAAAAATTATGTAAGTCCAGTATTAAGGTAGTAGCTGAAAGACAGTAAATAAATTATTCCAAGCAATTTAAAAGTACATACACCCCTTATATAATGTATTTATTTTGATTTTTTTTGAGTTAGATGACAAGATCTGATACATGACTGTTTAAAATAACTTCATTTTTGAGATAACAGAACATTTTTTACATGTTGAGCATAAATTTTAGTGGTTTTTCCTATACAATACTAATTGATAAGATAACATACTCCTCAAAAAATAAAAAAAACCTTCATATATTTTTCATCTTTTGGTAATTCCTTTTCAGTAGATTTCAATTCAATTTCTTTTCCATTTTGTGATAGTAGTGACTTGAAAGGAACAAAGTATTAAAAGAAATGCTAATTTAAAACTAGAAATATAATGAGGCACTTTATCTCAATCAAACTATAAATACTTTATAATGTTCAAACTACAGTGAAAGCTCTGCAAATACATCCAGTAAGTTTATATAGTAGAGCCATTATTTCAGGAACTGCTCATAAGAATCTCCATTGCATCCTTCTTAAATATATATGCTAAATGAACAAAATGGCAGGCTGTGGAGTTTCACTCCTTCTCTCCTTTAAAAAAGTTTTGGAAAAGTATCCCAAAAATCCCTGTTAAAAAAAGTAATCTTGCAAAATGCTTAATCCTAAAGGTGAGCTCCTGCCAAATGCCACAGCTCTTCTTTCTCCTACTGTCACCTACATACTCACATTTTTTTTCTTGAATCAGTTCCATGAGTGAGTTCATGGCACCAAAAAATTGCTCATTTGATGGAAAACATTTTTATTCAGGGAGTGAAAAGGGGTCATCTCCTATAAAATTATCTGATCCATCACATCCACTCATGTAACCTTGCTCTCAGGGTTTGGAAGGGAGAAAGAGCAGGACCACTCCTCACAGCTGCAAATTTCTACAAACTGAGATCAAGTTTAGTGTGATACTATGAAATACATGGATCTAAACAAAAGGTTTGTAAAGTCATACTGCTAATGCTTAACAATGAGAACACACGGTCTGAACAAGAGTCCGCACAGATTTACAGGAATGAATGAATAAGCGGTGTTTTGGTGTTGGTGGTGTGTCATTTCTTTGGGTTTTTTTTGTTATTGTTACTCTTTAAAAATTAAAAGAGAATAGAGAGAAGAGACAGCAGTGTGAATTGAGACAATGACAATGACCCAAAGAACAGAACAAAGCTGAAGAACTGAAGGACACAAAACCCAACATAAATATTGGGCTTGAATGGGCAGTTGACCTAAGTGCACCTCCCATAGTTATGCCAGCACAGCAATGGGCAGAGGGAGAAGGGCTTACAGAGACAGAACTCCAGAAGCACCTTCTTGCTCTTTTCTATTTTTATTCTACATATGAAGTAACTTCTGGTGAGATAAAAATAATGTTTTAAAAACAGTAGGCTGTAAGATTGACAGGGTATGGAATGTTTACACTAACTAACACCAAAGGGAAGTACATCTGTGCTGAGACAGATGAAAAACACAGTCTTAAGACAGATTTAGTGAAATAACTGATTCTAAAGTGTATGGGAAATTGTGAGTAATCAGCAAGATGCAGCTAAAAGAGAAATTTGGGCAACAAGATGAAGGAAAGTGACCAGACAAGACAATGCTTGAAACTGATGTACTATGGATAAGATACTTGCTAAGAAGACACTACTTTTTGGCTGACCATATAATTAACAATGAAGTAAATATAATTAGTATACAGCCCCAGGAGCACAGACATGTCTGCAAATTCAGATGCAATAATAAGCTAAGTGAGTGAGCAGAACATGAATTAACTCCAATGCTGAACTCATGTCAGAAATTTCATCCTCAAAAGGTAAAGCTGGTCACAGGGACACCATCTAGCTTTTACTTAAAGACAGGTGTCTGCTGGGGTGCCAGAAAGGGCAAACGTAGGCCAGAGAGGGGAAGATTAATCAGACAAGTGGGTTCCAAACAACTGTTTAGATATACTCTGAATTAATGTTCTCCTCCTGTTCTCCTAGGATGAGGGTGACAGGACCAAAGGTTGAGTGGCTAAAGAGAGTAGGGATCAATGAAATCAATGGGAAGAAACAAAAGTCAGAATGACCTCTTTCTGAGAGAATTGGCATGTAAATTGCCGGTCTAGCAGTAAGACATCACCTGTAACATTCCACAGCTTGGGTTTGGGGTTTTATTTATTTGTTTGGGTTTTTTAGGCTTTTTTTAACATAAAAACTTAAATATAATCTTGTTAGCATACCCTTGATAATGAATGATGCACACTGTTCTTATCTTGTACAGGATTGTTCTCTTAGTTTATCCACTGGACATGCAGCCTGTGTTGTGGAAATTCCAGTACCCTTCATCTGTGTGTGAGAGGGGGATCATCTCCTGTCTTGGCAACAGCTGGTGGATAATAAGGACCTAGGTCAGGAGTCACAGTGCAGAGAAAGGGTCTGTGTGACCCTTTTCCAAACGTCCTGTGAGAGTTGTGATGCTCACAAATGTGATGGTACTGGTGAGGATGGGGAATTCAGTCACTGATCAAGCCAGAGAAGTTCTGGATTTGTGATCTGGCAGAGGTCATAAGCTCAACTGAGACAAAGAATCAAAGATCACATTAACCTAAGCCGAAATGGTGAAGTGTATTCTGACCTTCTTTATTTTAAGCCTTCAGTAAGACAGTGGTAGATCTTGGACTTGGTGTATTTTTCACTATGCAATACAAGCATTTTTAATCCTCAGGCCACAAACTATACCAATCAGAAACCAATTTAGCAACAGGTCAACAAAAACCAAAAGGTAAAGTAATAGATAAAAGCATTCATGACTGACAATAAAGGTAGTAAGGTTTAAACACAAAATACTGTTAAGAAACAGTAAGAATTCTCAGAAAAGTAAGAACAATAAAATCAAACAGAAAACAAGATTGAATGACTAAGGATGATGTTGATAAAGATCCAACAGAAATGTCAAGGTCCTTATGTATTAAAGTAATCAATTTCTGTAATGGGCATGAACAAGCAAACCCTCACAGGACTGCCAAGGCTGTGTCCATCACAGTGTGCATTCAGGCAACAACTCAATAGAATGTGGGAATGGCATTTATTAATGACAGAACACAGGGAGACCTTGTCAATACAAAGCATTCGTAATACAATACAAAAACTGAATGTCCTTGAGGGTTACAGCAGCAAAAACTGCTGATAATATTCAAAAGTAGAAATGTAAGGTCATGCACTTATGGACTAATATTACTGACAGAAGACAGAAGTGACAGCTGGAAATGAACAAAAGCATAAATAATAGGGCACAGCCACTGATCACAAAGTGACTGGGGTTTAGAACTGACCCTTCTAGGCAAGAAAGCACATAACACCATAGAAAGTTTCAAGAGCAATATTCTACAAAGACATAGTAAAATATCATCTAGACTTATGTACACCTTTGACTAGACATATACTAGAAAAATTCATTCAAGTAGGAAGAGGCAAAGAGTGGGGCTTTGCTGGAGAACAGAAGCTCTGTGTTAGGCAGTCTTAGAGAGATACCCAGTGCAGCCATCAGAAATAGCCTAGCTACATTATTAGACTGATCTAATCACTAGTTATTCACACACACACAAAAGATATACAGGAAGGCAATCTGCCTTACTTAGACTAAAAAAACAAAGATATATAACATCCCCTGAAATGTAAAAAACAGCTAACATGTAAAAAATACATGAGAAAGAACACATAGAAAAAACCCTAGTTATACTACATTACAGTGTTGGCACACACAAAAAATAAGCAGCACAAAAAAAAAAAAACCAAAACAACCTTGCCACAACAAAAATAAATAAATTTGTTTAGCCAGAAAGCTTTAAAAAAAATTCTTGCAGGTTAATCAACAGAGATTATAGCAATAATAGCTATATGCTATATTAGCAATGTTACCAATGCTTTATTTTGCTGCAACACTAATGGTCTTTTAAAAAATACGCTTAAAACACAACCTTTTTTTAGCCTATTCGAAATCCCTCAAGGTCAAAGAGATCTCTCAATACACCTATAAATCTCAAAAATCTGCTTTATCTGTTCTGAATGATGAGTTGGAAGAGACTTTAGAAGTAAGTTTTGATGTGTGGAAACAAGGGTCACCTTTTCCACTTTGCCAACTTAATAACAGATTTAAACTGCCCCATAACAGCCAGATGAATTCATAAACATAAAACACTCATGCCTCAAAGATTTGTTTCCTTTGAAATGTTTAAACATGTATCTGAAGAGTGAAGAGGAAGAGAAAGTTACTTACAGCAGTTGACAGCCGGGATGCTAAGGTCATTTCTAAATTTCCTTTGAGACCAAGGAGCGCAGGAACCAAGATAAAGACTTCAGTAACATTCTTGAACACATCCCAGTGCTATACGAAGGATACAGTGGGAAACATTTAATTGAAAGATTATCTTTAGACCATCCATAAACTATTAAAAAATTCTGTAAATCATAACTTAACCCTCTAAAAAAATGTTTTATTTTTGTATTAGACCTAAAAGTCTGAAGTCAGAACTGTTACCTATTTAGATAAAACAGATTTATGACTGCATATTACTACTTCAAAGATAAGAAGACTATAAGCAAGAGATACAAAACTTGGCCTTAAAACAAATATAGTTAAAAAATATGTCATCAATCTGAAGTTTTTGCTTTTCATTATTTAAAATAGTCCCACATACTATGATTGCTCTTGAATTCTGCTCTTAATTTTCAATATTTTCATCTTTTCCTTTCAAGCTGTGTAGAAACCTTACATAAAATCACCAAGGAATTAATTATCATATGAACAGAGCTTGTAAGTAAAAAAAGCTTGTCTTTATTCTTTTATCTCTAAGTGTGAAATTTACAAGAGCACAGCTTTCCAAAACCCAGATTTTTAAAAGAAAATTATTTTCCTTTTTTGTGCACCAAGTTCTTAGCACTGAAGCGCTATGCTACTTTGTATGTCTTGTCAACCCATGTTATTTAATTTGTCATCATTTACCAACTCTAACTAAACTAACAAAACTGTAAATTGTCTTTTTATTTGGGGATCTGCAACAATTTAAATTATTATTTTAATGAAAATAAAAGGATTCAATTAACGCATCTGTATAAAGAATAAATTTGTACAATGTAAATAAACAAAGCACCAGACTGGTGTCAAATACCCCAAGAAAGCAGTAAAGTTTCTATGTGAAATTTTATTTACCTTTTTTTTCAGGTAACAAAGTCTCTTTCCATTGCAACTAATTGAAGTCCAAGCTTCTTTTACTTTCTTAAGATTTTGAGTGACAAAGATTGCCACCTCTTCCTTGTATTTTAATTAACATTGTAAACTCTTTAAGTGTAGATAAAGAAATTCCTACATCTGAACAAAGCAAAACCAAACAAAAGTGGAGAAATCCACAAAGATTAAGTTCTGTATTGTAGTTCTGTTTAAACATTGTGCTTATTTCACACTTTTTTAATAAGCTCATAGTAGCAGAACCACACACAGACCCAATTACATCTCAATATTGCAGACATCTACAATGTCACATGTTAGAACTATAGACCTAACAGACTACCTGTTAAAAAAGCCTTACAAAGCAAATACCAACCTGTACAATGTCCAAAACCATGCCAGCAGAAACAGTTCCAAACCCTGCCAGCAAAAAAGGTACAAGTATCTGCAGTGCCATAATACTACTCGATTCTTTGGGTTGTTTTCTACTTCCTTCCACAATGACATCCTCATTACTGCCACTAGAAAGAGTGTCGTCCTGCAACATGGCATCTGTTTCTGAAGTGTCCATTCCATCACAGTAATTGTAACTGGTAAAATCATCATATTTAGGGCTACAGCTGGATGGGCTGTGTCCATTGCTACCATGAAATCTCGCTTCTGAGAAGTGATGGTATTCCGGGTGTTGTTCGGACCTGACATTAAAATTGTGTCCTACTGGTTGCAATCCATCTTGCCAGACACCATTCACCTTTTTGTGTCTTTCCTCTTGGTTTATTTGGTAAACAACAGGAACCATACTTAAAAGCAGCCTCAAAAATTTATCAGACTGAATTGTATTAAGATTTATGGTCCAGTTTACAAAGCCTTCTCTGTCATGGACTTTGCCATTTGTTTTGGAGATGGTAGATCTGCCTTTACAGTTAGTCATAGTGCTATAGAAGTACAGGTTGAAAAGCACTTTGTTCTTCAGATGTCAGCCAAGAAATCTTGCAGGTTAGTCACCAAGTGTCACACTTACAAGTGGACCAAAATGTTCCTTTTTTGCAAGCAAAAGTGTTTTTTCACTGCTCTCAAATCTTCAACATTTCCATACACAAGACTGGATCTACAAAAAAAGTAGAAAGTATATATTCACTTCTAAAATATTTTAACTCTACAGAATACATGAGACATTGGTTTCATTTTTCAGATCACAATCTTTTCTCTTTTCTGTTTACCATGATTTAAAGTGATGTTGCTTCTATTTTGACATTTCCATCATGGGAAGAAAATAAACAATGATATACTGACAGTATGAAGTCATTTCACATTTGCTCCATGAGAAGCCACTTTACCTTCCTTTTCTTCAATCTTCATGTTGTGGTAATAATTGTAGCAACTTACTAGAAGAACAGTTCTAATGTGACACAAAGCTTTACTGACTTTGGTATTTATTACTAAACTCCATAAATACAAGTAAATTATTGGCATAAACAGAGAAACAATAGTCAGGGAGACTGCACCAGCACAATGTAGGAAAACACATGGCGTGGTATCTATGCAAAGCTGTGAAAACATTTTACAGACTGCAGCAAATGAAAATATTGTAGAGCTGGAGGACTTTTAAACTGCATTTCCTAAGAAACTCAGCTTCCTATGATCATATCTTTTATGATTCCTATACTTCCCTTCCCTCTATTTCAAAACTTTTAAGTCACCCAGTATTTTTAGAGCAATTTCAGGTAGACTTTACAGGAAGTGGAGACGCCAAAGCTTTTAGCAACTAATAGACTTGTAAGAGACCCAAGTTTGTGCCTTTGCTGCCAAGTGTATTCAAACATTAGCTGGGATAACTCACTCCAATATGGCCAGAGCAAGTCCACTTCAGAATTCCTGCTGCTCACAGAACTACTAGATTTGGGGTTTCTGAGTGAAAAGACTCAGAAGCAACATGATGATTTTTCCCTCTACCATTTGCTTTATCCAAGGGAGCTTTGACCAAGAAAGAAATATTTTAAAAATGACAATGAAATGTATGGCTTGATCTAGAAAAAAGCCAAGTTTTGCAAGAAACAGCAATCTTTTTTCCACAAAGCCAACAGAGGAATTTAAGTAACCAAGATTCCTTCAATTTTTTGCCACTCTAGCAGATTGTGCATTGTTGAATCTTTCCATTTCAGTGCATAAAAAACTCCTAGGCCTCAATTCTGGTTTCCATACACTTTAATTAGGAATTAAAAAAAAAAACTGTAGCTGCTATCCTGGAGCAGCTCTAACCACAGGTCAAAATGGTGCTCTGTTAAGTGCTACAGAAAGCCAGAACAAGAAGAAATTGAAGGATTTCACTTCACTCCCATATGTCCGCCATTCACATCACCAAAGTGCTAGACCAGTGACTCATGGAAATTATTCACTGCACTGGAACTCTGGCCAAAAATATTTAGGTTAATTATCCATATATTTTTTAACATATAGATTGTTCTCCTTTAAAATGTTTATATTTTATTAGGGTTTTTTTGAGAAATGAATTATTTTATAAGATTGTGGTTTCATTTAAATAAGAAAGTATTAAGAAATAGAAATCATATTTAAAAGGAAAAAAAAAAGGAAACAAACATTATTGTAGGAGTGACGGGGGGTCATGCACGGTAGGGACGGACGGAGACAAGATCTCTTTGAAGCTAAGTTGTATAACTTGTAGTTTATTACAAAGGCCGTGGGTGAAGGGCTCTGTTGCGAGCTGCCAGCTGCAGCTTGGAGCAGGGCCGAGAGAAGAGAGGCTTGAAGTGTAAGAGAGTTAACAGCAAAGGTTTAAGAGGGGAGAGCATGTAGAAAGGAGGAGGTGAAGGAGTGCAGAGGGAAGACAAAGAGACAAAGAAAGAAAAGGGCGCGAAGAGGAGCTCGAGAGCGAGCGAAGAGATAAGGGAGAAGAGAGATAAGAAAGCGCCAAAAAAGAGAGCGAAGTTCCCGTTACTATACAATAAATCGTCTTCAGTGTTGAATATGCAGATTCTCATTAACCAATTTACTACAGCATGCATATCTTATAACATTTCCACACAATCTATAAGAATCACTACATTACCATACTATGTTTACGTGTTAAACCCTAAATCTTATTCTTTGAGCCCCATCTGCCAAGCTACAAGGCTTGCTCTGACTCTTAGGCCTGCCTGCTTGCAGAGGGAATTGTTTCCTCTAGGGGAGATTACATTCAACTAGTCTCAACTAAAGTATCTCAAAAGTTGCTTTCATTTCTATCTCACTTATAGTTTCTATATTCTCAAAATCTTTTGCTAAGCAGTCATATTTAAAAGGCTTTCTTGTTTCATCCTCCCCACCACATTATTTGGTCAAGTTCCAAATGGAGGAAGGGCTAGTGCAGATGGCTAGTAATTGAGTAGTACAAAGCAGTTTGGATGACAGCCTTTTATGTTTTTCCTACCACAAAGACTTAGAATGACAATATGGGAACTTAGTGATAAAACCTGGAAAATGAGAACTTAAGAAGACAAACTGAAAACCATAGAACCATAAAATTGTTTAGGTTGGAAAAGTATTGTATAGTACAATATACAGGAAAGAGTAATAGTTCCTTCAGAGTATACAGAGAGAAGATAACTACAAACCCTTCTAAATGTAACTAAATGTAACTCATTTCTAAACATGTGTTCCAACAAAAATGATTTTCCAAATGTCATCTGGTTACATGCTAAATGTAACTCATTTCTAAATGTGTGTTCCAACAAAAATGATTTACGAAATGTCATCTGGTGCAATATTTTCATCCTAAGTTACAAGATGCTAATAATTGCTGCATTTTCGGGGGTATTTTGTACCCACAAGATGCAGGAAACCCTTTTGTTCGTGTTGTACTAAGGAAGAACAAGAACTTCCTGAGAATGACAAGAAAAATGCCTATGTTGTCGTGTTGTCTAGAAAAGACCCGGGAGCTAAAAAAGCAAGCTCTGCTTGAGTAATTCATGTGAAGAAAAGGCAGTTAAAATCTCAAAAATCTCTTTCCTGGTCTCTGTAGGAAGAGGAGATAAGTGGTTCTGGTTCCTTGACATATAATCTGGAGGTTACAGAAAAAGATGAAGTACTAAAAAAAAAAAAAAGAAAGAGACAAAGACCCTTTCAGAAGTCAGGAATTAGCCTCAGATTTATCATAGCTGGCATATTACATATGAAATGAAAGGACACCTTGTCTTTGTCCCTACAGACAAAATAATGAGTTATGCCCAAACTATGAAAATAATTATTCCCTCTTTCATATTGTTTCCCAGGTATCTACTTTCAATAGTTTCTTCTTTTCCTTCATATATTTCATAGCAAATAATTCCTATGTACTACCCACCTCTTTCTCTCAGTCCTGCAAGCATACACAAACAAAAACAAATAGTTCTGTAAACCTAAACAAATAGCAAATGCAGCCATACTCTGCCATTCATTGAAAATGTGTTCCTGAAAAATTAAACACTTGGCAATCCAAAAGAGAGCAAGCCAATTTATTTTACCCATAAGAGTTAACACAATGCATGCAGCAATTTAAAAAACACACATGGAGACAGTGTACATGACTGACAGGAAGAAATAAATGCTGTAGAGAACAGGACCACAAAATGGAAGAGATGCTGACTTTTGCAAATGCAAAGCTGCTTTAGAAAGATCTCAGGTACTTGAGCTATGAAACTGAACACCTGATCATTATGACATTTTTCTATCCTTCACCGTTGGTTGGCTTTCTTCATTTGAGAAAGACCACATGACCAAAAATATTCAACTGTTCAGGAAGAAGCTCAAAGAACTCTCATCACTATTGCCCAAAGAATTGTCCACATTGTTCCAGACAGATCTATAATGCTGTTCTCAAGAGCATGGGAAAGAAAATGCTTCTTTTTACTTCCCCTTGGTTTAAAGAACATCTAGCATTAGCAGGATTAAGGGACCAGATTCTACAGCTAAATTTGATCAGAAAAATGTTAGACTGCCAACAATTCATTTAAAGCGTGAACACAATAAATCAGGGTGACCTTTTAAGAACCTTCAAAAAAAGGGGAAGGAGGAAGAATCAAGCATGAAATTTCTGTAGAGTAAACATTTTGACAGGCTAAAACAAATACTTACCAAAGCTTAGGTTGAGGGAAATTTCTGATTTTTTTCAGAGCTTGGCTAACAAAACCAAAAGATAACATCTATCTAAGTAATTCTGAGGGCTTTCATGGGACCCAAAGCTAATCACAGCACAGCTGAAGTTGCCAACATTTTTTTACAGCATTAATAATCTCTACACTGCACTTCCAGGCAGTCCACAATAAAATACAATTCTGTAAACATACCTGTCTGAGAAATGCCTCTCAGGACAAGAACAAGCCTTAGAAAAGGATTCAGGAAAGTAATATGAAACGCTAACAAAACACTGAACTTTAACAATTTGCCATAATAAGCAAAGATGAAGCTGGATTATTCCTTGGCATGAAAGACTCTTTTTGTGTCTTCAGAGATGAAACCAGACTCCTCCCACTGAAAGGATGAGAGGTAGCAGGCACCAATTGAAACAATGGAAATGGCATTTGAATATAAGAAAAAGCTGGGGGTTTTAATCATGACAGTGGCTGAACACAGGTTCAAAAAAGTTCTGGAAACTCCATCCTTGGTGACATTTGAAAACAAAGTGGACATGGTCCCAAGAAACCTGCTCTTCTTGACCCTACACTGAGCAGACATGGCTGAATAGAAAATTTCCTGAGATTCCTTCTGACCTCGGCAATTCTGAGATTCTGTAAAGCTGGAAATATGAGGGTTTGGGGGCATTCTTTAAGTTCAGAAAACAGGTGATACAGGGATCTGCATGGCCTCTTGTCCACTATTGTCATATGTATAAATACAAGTGTCAGTATCACACTGACACCCTTATCACAGACAGGGCTAATCATTTATATTAGTGTAGTGGGCCTATCAGTAGAAAGGGAATGCTACATAATATCACCTCAGCATTACAGAGAGTAAACAGGCTGTATTATCATCAACCATTCCACAGAATCCGGAAACCAATGTGGTACACTGGGCTAAGATTACTTACACCAGATATTGAGGATAGCGTGTAAAAGGCTGCAAAACATGCTGAAAATCAACAAATGTTGCATGCAAGACAGATATAAGAACATTACGTACCATTTTTAAGTACTATGCAGTAAACTGGTTAACACTGTGTTTATTGTATGGCAGTTGCTGGTTAAATTAACAGCAAAAGAAACAAATAACAAGAGGAAAAAAGACTAGAGAACTGCCAGATGCCTTCTTGACAGTAAGGCACTGAATGATCTGCCACCCTCAGGCTCAGTTGTCAGACAAGTTTCAGACTGCTGCATTCCACTTCCTTTACACAGCAGCTTTCAATTTTGGCCCTGAGGAAGAGAAAAGCAACTGAGAGAAAAAGACTTAGTTTGACTCTGCACTTTTAAGGCAAGTCATCTAGAAAAGATCAAAACAGTCAAAACACAACAGCAAGGCTGTGAAATGTAGTTGGTTGTAAAATGACACAAATGGAATACTGTCACCGAGAAATGAAGGCCTTTGTCGGGGTCAAGCCATTTGTCGGTGAGGGGAGACTCAGACACTCAACATGAGTGATAAGTAAATTCCGTTTATTGAAGAGAGCATCAGACACTTATACAGCAAGTAATAAGCTTATGAATATTCTGTAAGCTAAGCAATCTATTGGTTAAACTATGCTATGAACTCTTCCTCATTCCTTAGGGGTTACATCTCTCTTTTCTCATGTCTCTTTCACTGTTTGTTATCCTACCACAGCTAGGCCCAAGGACACTGCTATCTGTGCAGGTGCAGGACTTGGAATTAGCCATGGTTTTGTACTTTTCCATTTTCTAGCAGCTAAATTCCCAACAGAATACCAGCAAGAAAAATACCAGGCAAATCACATCCTTCAGACCATCAAAAGCAGGTGGGGTTAATGCAGTCCTCTAGGTTAAGTAACCAATAAGTACTTACCAGGATGAATCCTAACTACACTTTGGGATTCTGATTACAGGTCTCTACTGTCATCACCGAGGAGAGATTAATTACTTATTAACTCAGGCACTAGGATACAGACTTCCTACTGCTTTTGTGGATATATAGTAAAGATACTTGAAAAGAAAATTATACACTGTTATTTTTCCTCCTGAAGTATCTACCAGGCATACTACAGTATTTATGGATCCAGTTTCACAATCTCTTTAGGGCAGTAGATGTCTGCTGCCAAAACGGGTCATCCTATCTGCTCTCATCTTTTTACTCACATTACTAAACTGGTAAAGTGAGGATAACTAGGCATGTATTCTAAACATTGCTAGGACTCTTCCTCAAGACTAAACAATTACTTTATTTTACATGATCCACATACTGTAGTGTGGTCTATAACCTAGATTCAAATGTGAGTGAAGAAGACACTCAACTACATCCTGAACAGTGGGCCAGGGGATGCAGAAATAATAACATTCAGTGAAACTACAGAAATAGCTACAACCTGAAGTTAACTGAGAATTAATGACAGCATAGAAAGTAAAGTAGAATAAATCACAAAATGCTTCTATGTTTTAGCAGAAAAGTATGGAAAGAGAATAAATGTGCTATCACACGTTAATTACGCTTAATTACACATTAAATAACGTTTGTTAACAAAAAATAGATGCTCGTTGAAGTCTATACGTGTGCTGTTCAGGTACAGGTTCCATGCTTGTCTAGTGACGCATATGCAGTGACCATCTGGCACATTTTTATGGGTGCAAAGGTGGGACCAGAACTGTCTGTACATACGGATGTAAAGAGTGCCAAGGAAAAGGGGCTACTGGGAGTGTTGGGCAGGTCTTATGCAGGCACAGAGAAAACGAAGAAAAGGCTCATTGTCTCGGCTACCTGGAGCAGTGAATAATTACGCGCACATGATGAAACGCGCTGCGGGGCCCTGAGGAGAGCAGGGTACCCAGAGTGCCAAGGAAAAGGGGCTACTGGGAGTGTTGGGCAGGTCTTATGCAGGCACAGAGAAAACGAAGAAAAGGCTCATTGTCTCGGCTACCTGGAGCAGTGAATAATTACGCGCACATGATGAAACGCGCTGCGGGGCCCTGAGGAGAGCAGGGTACCGGCCCGCCGGCGAGCAGCGGAGCCCGCCCGGCGCCGGGGGGCAGCTGGGGGTGCGGGAGAAGGGCGGGCGGGAGCGTCGGGCCCCGCAGCACGGGGAGAGCGAGCCCCGCGGCATCCGGGAACGCCGGCCGGGGCGGGAGGCAGGTGGCAACGAGTGCCCCCCAGCCCTGGGCGCTCTGGGCACCCCGGCATCGGGGCGGGCCAGCGTGGCGCTCGGGGGCCCGCCACTGGCCAGGAAACTTTCTCACCCGCGGCCCCCGCCACCTCCCACGGCTCGAGGCGGCAGGTCCCCGGCCCGCCCAGCCCCGCTGCCCTCGCTCCTCGAGCCGCTCCCTCACCTGGGCGAGAGTGGTGCCGGCAGCGTGGCGGGGTTGCGCTCCATCGCTGCGGCGGAGCTGGAACAGCCGTCGGCGGTGACAGCTCCGCGCTAGCTAAGCGCCGCCGCCACTGAGCAGGCGCGGAAGCGGGCGGCCCCCGCGATGATGTGGCCCGTGATGCGCAGAGCTGCCGCCACTACCGGCCGGTCCGAGCCGCCGCTGGGCGGGGGAGGGAGGAGCCGAGCGCCGCCACCCCGCATCGCCCGTGGGACGGGACAGGATGGGATGGGGCTCCGTGGCCATGGTCGCTCCCAGCCTGGCCCCCGGGGCAAATCCCCCCTGCCCACGCTGCGAGCCCGCCTGAGTACCCTTGTCACTGGTCCTGCCGGCCCCCCGGCGGTAGCGGGGGACGAAGCTGCACCCCCGCCTCTCTGCCCCGCAAGAGCCCGGCTAGTGCCCCGCAGCCAGGAAAACAAAGCGCTGGGGAGTGGGGCGCCAGACCACTCCCCGGGCAGCGCCGGCGGCGGCAGTGCCTTTGCTTCCACTCGCAGAAGCTTTCTTGGCCGTAGCACAGGAGACGCCGTTTTGTGCTGCCTCCTGATTGCCAGTTACCAGAACATTTGCGCTCTTTCCTGCCAGTTGGCAAAAAGCAGCTTCCCCAAGAATCCAATTCTGTAAAGTGTTTGGGTCAGTTGGAATATCCCTGTTCTTGCCCAACTAGACTCTGCACCCGGCAAACAGCATGTAAGTCTGCAATTTCCTCCCTTGACATCAGCTGCCTCTGTTTAACTAAGTATGAAGCCAAGGCCTTGCTGGACTCCTGTTTTGCAAAACACTTAATATTAACACTTTACATTAATGCATTGAAATGGTCAAGCCATCTAAATTTGTGCATCTATTATCAATACTAGTTTTATTCCTCAGTTGTTGCTCAACACTTTGAAGTGATGAGGATGCCTTAACTGGAAGGTAAAAGGGAGGAAAGGAAGAAAGAGGATGAAAGGAGAAGATTGGTGACAACAGCCAAGCCCACAGCATCTCTTTTCCTGTCTACAGAGAGAAAAAAGCACTGGCAAGTCACCAAGTGTCTGCCATAAACTGGAGCTAGTTGCGGTGGTGAAATGTATTCGCAGGACTGGCGGGCCAGAACATTCTGCACTACGAGAGTGAAACATACAGGATCAGCTTGAACATTCACATCAATACCACCTTAAATGAATGAAGCAGCCCAAACTTCAGAGCTAATAATTCGGCTGTCTCAAGCTTGTATGTACTGGGGATTTGGGCTGCAGATACCATAACTTCCCTACCCTAGTACCAAACCTATATATCCATGGCCTGTGGATACCCTACAAATCAGATGAAGATCACATCTGCCTATGTTGCCAACAGGTGAGACTGTAAATCTGAGGTTTGGCAATAGCACCTGAGGGTGCTATTTCTGGCTTTTCTAATTGCTTGTCTGGTTATCTTGGGCAATCATTTCATCACTTACTACTACAGGTTCCTTGACAGCATTATGCCCCACCCTCCATGGAAATCACATCATCCCCATGGATGAAATATATTGTTTGAGGTTCACACACTATTATTTTGGGTTGTGTACAAATTCAGAAATTCACTTTTGAGGCCCAGGGCAAAAAACTCAGTCTTCAAGATTTTTCAGTTATTAAAGCTAGCAATAGGATTTTTTTGGGAAATAAAAATTCTGGAGTGCAGCTGAGGAAGAAAAGGTGCAGGTAGCAAATTCGGTGGAATGCACCTGACACTGTAGATGGGCTGGGGAAGTGGCAGAGGACACTTGTTTGGGACAGTCTGTCAGGAAAACAGCAGGGTGGTCTCTTGCTTGAGGCCTTGAAGAGGTTTGCTTCTTATTCATGTTAATTCCAAGATACTGGGATCTGGATGGTTGTGTGGTTGGGTTTTTTCCTTCATCATTTTCCTCTGTCCTTTGCAATGAGGGCCTATAATCACCACTTACCTGATTACTATTTATTCTCATTTTCATCTTGGACTTCCTATCTTGTTTCTTATGAACCATTCAGTTTTCTTTTTGCAGTTTTCACATTGTCTAGATGTGAAAAGACAGAAACTGCGGAACCGATAAGGATAGATAAGGACAGAGATTGCAGAAGAAATCCTGACTAACAGGCTGTTAGTACCAGTGTCATCTGAACTTGGTGGTTGTGTAAGTTTCTTTTCCTAAGGATGATTAAAACTCCCTCAGGATCTGATATTTCATTTTAGGTTCATTTATCAAATTCTGAAAATGAAAATGGGAGAGTTTTGAGAGACAAGCAGCTACTGGCAGGTGTTCAGGTGATGTTACCTGCTGGTAGATTGGTTCGACAGCCTCTTCATGGTGTTGGGATGGACTTTTTGTCCCAAATCACAGAATCAATCTGTTTGGAAGGGACCATAGTGAATCATCTGGTCCAACCTACCTGCTTAGGCAGGGTTTGCACAAAATTATGTCCAAACAGTTCTTGAATATCTCCAGTATGGGAGACTCTACAATGTGTCTGGGCAACTGATCTAGTGTATGGTCACCTGAACAGTAAAGAAGGTCCTCCTCATGTTCAGGTGGAACTTCCTGGGCATCAGTTTCTGCCTCTTGCCTCTTGTCCTGTTGCTTGGTAGCACCAAGAAGAGCCTGGCTCCATCCTCTTGTCACTCTTGCCACTGATGAAATCTCCTCTCAATCATCTCTTCTTAAAGCTAAACAGGCCTCCAGCTGCCTCAGCCCTTCCTCTTTAAAGAGATGCTTCAGTCCCTAATCACCGTTGTTGCCTTCGCTGGACCCGCTCCAGGAGCTCCATATCCCATTTGTCCTGAGGAGCGCAGAACTGGACACAGCCCTCCAAATGTGCCTCACCAGGGCTAAGCAGAGGAGCAGGACCACCAACCTGGACCTGCTGGCAATGCCCTTCCAAATGCACGCCAGGACAGCGGTGCCCCTCGTGCCTTTGCTCTTGTTGTGTTTCAGGAGGTTCAGTCCGTGTCACGACGATCTTCCCACGGAGCGCTGTCCCCGCCCCCGCGCGGGCGGCAGCGCCGCTGCTCCTCCCGCCCAGCAGGGGGCGAGCCGTCGCCGAGCCCGCGGGTCGCTCCACTTCCGTGTGGGCGGGCGCATGGCGGGGCCCGGCGGCGCGGCGGGGCCGGCAGCGGCCCGGGAGCTGCTGGACCTGAGGCCCCGGCCAGGTGAGTCCGGCACCGGTCTGCAGCCAGCGGGGGCTCCCAGGTAGCCCGAGGGAGGGGCTCATCGGGCCGCCGGTGACCCACTGGTGATTGCGTCCCGCGTGTGTTGAAGGGCTGCTCTCCCGGGGAGGGGCAATGCGAGGAAATCCACGTTAAGCTATGGGAAGCCGTAACGACGTTTTTCTGAGGACAGAGAAAAAAGTTAAAAAGACAGCTGCGCTTTAATTAATGATACCGGGCGGATGGCTTCGTTGATGGTCATAAGGATAATAAGAATAATTAATGCCGAATTCCCTGGCACGCGTTTGGGTTTTCCGGCGCTGCTGCTGCCCACGGTTAGCAGAGGTCATTGGCACCGGGATTTAAATCAGTGCGACTGGCACGCCTCAGCTCCCACCTCACCGTGCCCTGCAGAGGGGAATTAGAGGTTGTTTTTTTAATTGCTATTACTGTAGCTTAATCAAAATTTGTCTCAAAAACAGCTTAAGGAACTTTAGCTTAAACTCAAGGAGTGTATGAAAGGTGACCTGCAGGCTGAGACCCCTATGTAGGCCTGTATTTCTTCCAAGAGCAGGAAAAGCTGATGGCAATTATGGAGAACTTGTCAGCTTAAGCATTTCAATACTCATTTGTTTGTTTGCAGGGCTGGAAGACATTTTGCTGATTAATTCAAAATGTAGCAGCAAAAAGGCCACAACTTTACAGACGGTTAAGGTGCCAAGGAGCAATGGTAAGTGCTTGTCCCTTGTACTGTGTCAAGTAGTACCTAACATTTGTGACACAATTTTTGCTTTGGCGCTTTCCTTGAAAAGGGAGAAGCCTTTGTGTTCAGTTTCTAGAGGTGGCTGATCCTCCTCCCATTGCAGTTCCTTGTCCCACCGGTGAGTCATCTAACTGCTGCTGCAAAATTAGATTTTGCAATGTTGGTGTTACAGCTCTAAAGATTGTTCTTTAGAGCTGTAGTTTCCCAGTATCTTTTTTAGAAGATTTTTTTGGGGGGCGCTCTTTTTTAGGAGTAATTTCTCAGTATGATATATTTGTTGTATTAAAGCATTTAATTTAAAAAGGACTCCTGTCAAATTACTTTATGTTTTGTGATTGATCTGAAATTTGAAAAGATTGTTACATCAAATTCTTTGTTGGATAAAAGACTCTTCAAAAATGACAGTGTTTCAAAGATAGATTATAACTGTTAGATCTTTGTGTAGCTCACCTGAAACAGTACCTCTTCTTAAAGAAAGAAGACTAGTGTTTGGCTCATCTGCATTGTTGAGATCCATAAAATTAGAAGGTTTGAGAAAATGGTAAAAAAGACAGGTGCCTCAGGCAGCAGATTTGTGAACAGTGCTAATGCAGCAGAAAAAGTTTTCTAGGCTGTAGAGCAGACGTACGAAATAGAACAATAAGCCTCTGTGATTTACCCTTTTAGGTTGCAACAAGTTTATTTAATGTATATCTTTAGAAGGTTAATATGAATGAGTCTCTGTGCTTTGTCTCTCATAAACGAGCCATTGTGTTAAAGAATAAGTCTCTATTGTGTTAACTACAGTTACATGTGCTTCATATGATTGGATAGAATTATTGTCAATATGTTGTTGCTCTATATGTGATTGGCTGAAACTTGGACTGAGATGGCTTTCTGCTATGCTGTAACATTACATTTCCTGGGCATTCCATTTGAATCAGCCAGCTGTTCACATCTGTTGTCTCCGTTGTCCTAACAATGTACTGAGACTGATGTTTGAAATAAACAGCTCACGGCACTGATTTCGGGTGTCCCATCCCTGTTCGTGGCTGTATATAGTGTGCCAATGGTGTGCATGTGTGGAGCAGTTTATTTGAAGAAGTTCTGGAGGTGAAAGTACTGTCTTCCTCCAAGGAAGGTTTATGAGTGTGATTCTCCTAATTTCCATTGATTACATTAAAATTCTTGTGAACTCCCACTGGAGCTGTAGAGGATAAGTGCTTTATACTTCAACCTGGAGCTTCCATCTCTCTTCCACCGTCTTAATTTCAGACTTTCTTTTGTTAATTATGTTGACCTTTCATTAGTCTATCATGGCATCTGCTGCAGCTAATTTTTCCAACTTCTTTGAGACCTTCAGTCTGTACTTAGTTATCGTAGACAGCTGGAAATTACAGTTGAAATGGAATCTGTTATAAAGGCTTATATCTGAGGTATAAATGTGAGCACTAACGAGCATCTCTTTGACTTTACATATGTATGTATCTTTTCAGTTTTGGACCAAGTACAGAGCTTTTTACCACAGATGGCCCAGGCAAATGATGAGCTCAAAAGAAAAATGGTAACAGCACCCGCTCATCAGTTTGATATTGAACATCTAGACAGTGAAACAGAAGAAGTTATAGAAATGGTAAATAAATTTTTTTATTTTAACATCAATCTAGATGGGATTAAAATAACTCTCTGATCTTAGAATGAGTAATATGATAGATAAAGCAAAGTCTTTACTGTCATACTTGCGGAATTTAATCACAGGAGATTAAGTAGTTTAAGACTGGAATAAGACATGCTTTTGAATCTACAACTCTGAATCAAAAGTCACAAATTGTATTTTAAATGTCATCTAGGTGATTATGTTTAGAAACAGGACAATATAAAGCTTAGTAAGGCATAACAGAAGGCTTTAGTATAAGAGTAATAACTGGCTTTCAACTCTGCTCTGTTGGTATTTTTAGGAATGACTAGATCTTGGGTTTAGAAAAGTTGCTAGTGTTGTCGTGATCCTTTGTTGCTGCTATTTGTCTGTTTCTTTACAGTCACATAAATATTTTATTTCTGTTTTAACTGAAGTGCTGCAGCCACATGCTTATATAAGAAAACTTTATTTTGAAGGTGATATATGTGCATGACCCAGCCAAATGCCTTCTGGCTAAGCAGACCTCAAAAATTATAGCTCTGTATATGCATATAGGAGATCTCTTCAAAAGAAATTCTGGTGGCTTAAACTGCTAGTTATTTTAGCGTAGTTGTAGTGCCCTGAATACTACTACGTTTTAAGATATAAAGTATATTAATATTTATATCTACATGTGTTTGTATTTTTGTAAAGACCCCTTATACACTAAATGTTTTAATTTGAATATTTTACTGAAATGTACTTTTGTTGTCTGCTGCTTGTTAGTTTAAATACCTGATTTAGACAATCTGAGTTCAGCTATTGACTACGTTCTGTCTTTGATAGTGATATAAATATGGCGTTAGATTTCCTGGGCCAGTAATACTGATGAATCTCTTAATGATATTTGTAAAACCCTAGGGAAACTCAAAAGTCTTTTTTATGGTGGTTGTGATTTTCTTATGGTAGCAGGATGTTTAGTGTGTTTACCTTGTTTTACTCCAGTGATAGAAGTGCTGTAGTGCATGTGTATATATATGTGTATGTATGTAGTATACATTACATGTAAACAAGATGGTTTTTTTTCAGAATGTGGCTGTAGTTGAACTGAGTGATTCTGATACAGATGAAGAGTTGCTGACTTCAGAAGATGACTCAGAATCTGATGAAGATGACTCTGTAATTGATGAAGTGACAGCAGACAACATTAAGTTTCCTAAACAAAAGGGAGAAAAGGGCAAAATAGAAATTTTGGACAGCAAAGCAAATGAGTAAATCCATTTTATTTTACTTTTAAAAACCCCAAACCAACCAAATAATGTTTTTTCACTTCGAAGAGTTGTCCTTTAAAACCACTTTGTTTCCCAGTGTAGGATCTCTCAGGATCCTGTGCAATGCTATAGTTTACATGGTGGAGAATTCAGGATCTGCTCATGGCTGGGGAAGGCTGGGTTTCTGAAGAATGAAGTGCAATTTTATTCATCAAATAACAGGAAAATGCACTTCATAGTAGATTACACCCAGAAAACAGCTAGAGTAAAGGGGCACTTGAAAATTGAAAATTCCTGTTCTGTTGCTTTGTTCTTTGTTGAATAAAGATTTTTTTTTATAGGAAGATAGAAGTTTTTGCTTCGGGGCAGGAAAGAGTTAACTAGGAAAAAAGCTTTGTTTTCATATTCCATGTACTGTGAAGTGTTATGTACACTCTCTTCACTCTTAAACATGATCTTTAAGTACCCTAGAGGTATGTCTACATTGCATTAATGGCAGTGACTGCTCAACACTGGAGCCATGGCTGAGCTCATTTCCAGATGAGCCAGCCTGGGTAAGGACTGAGCAGAGAGTTCAGCAAAGGGTTACTTAGTACTTACCCTGTGTGCCTGCGCTAGGCTCCACACCAGCACAGGGAGCTTAGAGGCTCCTCTGGGAAACCTTTGTAGCTGTGGTGCAAACACCCTCCATACTCAAAGGATCAAGGCTGCCTCTGGGGTGTTAAGATGGCTTTAAGCTACACATCTCATCCCCTGATTTCCCTGCCATGTTTCCAGTCTCCATTTTGTTACTGACAGAAGGACAAAAGGGTGAATTTTCTTAAAGTACAATGGTTTGGGCTATTACATTTACTTCATAGATCAGTCTGCATTTCAGAAGAATCTGTCATGCTCCTGGATGTCATTGTTTCTTAAAGGAACACTGTATTTTCTACACCATTAAAGTAAAATTTTCTATACTGTATTTGCTCAAATATTAAACTTAATGTCATGACTTGAAATCTGCAGTTATCTATAGAATTTATTTTGAATCCTGTACTTAAAGTTCTAGTTTTAATACCTGTTTCTGTAGTATTTGTGCTAAGAAATAACAGGGATTCTAGTCTTTATTTTACAATGTGGCTTAAATATAAGATTATTTACTGATTAAACCATGGAATATTTTAGTGAAGGGGAAGGATGGGGATCAAAGAATCAGACTACTTGCCTTTAATAGCAGCCCACAGATCAATGAAGCTTTTCTGAAGGGTGTTTTTGCATTCTAAGAGCAAGGAGTCTTAAAAGGCTTAGTTAAATAAGGTCTTAATCTATAGAAAATTTCTTCCAAACTGAAAAAAGTTTGAAAACCAACATCTGATCTTGGTCATTTAACAAGGCATTTTCCCAGAGATTAAAAAGAACCCAAAAGTGTGAAATACAAAGTAATAATCATACAGTATGAAACAGTGATTACAGTCCATGTGCACAGACACAAAATGTGATTTTAATCCATTAATGTAACCACCTTTTAAACTGCAGGCAGATCACACATTCTGTATCAACAAAAAGGTAGAAAATATTTTCAGTAACTTTAGCTTGATATGCATAGTTTAACACCAATATTGAACTCTGTATGTACTATACAAAGATCATAGTAAGTGCACTTCCTTGCATTGATTTACTTCTTATGGCACAAAGATTTTCTGTACTGCTGAAAAGTCACCAGAGCAGAGCGTTTCATTGCTACCATAAAACCTGAACTGGTTTGTAGCAAAAATGGCATAATCAGTATATTCTAGTTCAACTTTGGAAGCCTAATGACTTAAGGATTTAAAATGATCATGTAAACATTATGTCACAGAAATATGAAGTAGGTGTGTGAGAACTTATTCTTCAGTTCTATTTAAAAAACAGAAACTGAACCATATTTTTAGGGGGGGTGGTTTTGGTGGGGGGAGGATGGGGGGAAATTGGGCTACCAACTGTTGCTGCTACATAATTCAAATAACTTCAGGGTGATTTCCAAAAGCCATTGTCAGTCAGACTAAAATCTGGACCTAATTTGTAGAAACTTATCCGTGGAATGAGTACTTGTTTTTTTGGTTGTAGCACTGCAGACAGCATATCCTAGGTGTGGTATCAAGCGCTTCATGTGGTAATCAAGATTCAAACTCTGCTGAAAGTCTGCTTCCCAAGTGAAGCTGTTACTTTAATATTCTACAGTGATGGCTTTGGTTCTGAGATATTCATGAAGAGCTTCTTCACCTGTACAAGCACAATATTCACCTGTTAGAACAGCAGCTAAATGAATTGTGTGAGTGTAATTTTTATTAAGAAAAAATTTGAAACACTGTAGCCAATATTTGAGTCCTTAAGGAACAATGAAACCTAATTACCTTCCCACTGTGATTTACAAACCTGGTTTGACAAGGGGCCAGACCCAACACATGTGGAAGAAAAAGGAACTGGATTTAACAAGCAGCTCCCCAAGCAGTAGCAGTCTTTAGATGGCCACTGGGGAACTCATAGCTGTATTTATGAACTTTGCTTCTCCTCTATTAAAGGTCAGAGATAGAGAAGCTGTGTGAAAAGCAGTAATTTTTTTTTCCCTGACATCATCACTCATTTTGGTTTCAGGAAATGTCTTTGAAGATTCCAAAAGCAAAAATCTGTTGTGTGAATGAAATTTGATTTTCCTTTTTTCTCTGCCCTGAAGCTTGATTTATCCAGACTTGCAAAGCTTCTTTGACAGTGGACTTCACTTTTCTAGAAAGTTGTTTTGGAAAGAGAGTGTTTTTTAATGCATCTTTTTCTGAGTCTGTTGACAAATTTTGGTGACATTTTAAGCTATAAAAAGTTTCCCATGCTCTTACCTAGAGCAGAAACCTAAATTAGCATTCTCTCTGAGGGAAATAATATTTTGGCCAATACCATTGTTACTTGACAGCCTTTTGTAGCCTATACAGAGCTCTAAAAGCTGTAATTTATTTGTCTACTCTCAGAGCAGTTGAAAAGGAATATTCTGCGTTATTTAGCAAATGTACAGGAAATGCTGAATGGGAGGTATTGAAGTGGGAATATTTAGGGGGGGAGAGGAATTGGATTAAGGATTGTAATTCTTTCATTGATTAGGACTCTGAGACAATAAATGAGGGAAGGAGACAACTTACCTAAATCTTTCCCAAAGCCAGACAGTTTAAATCCACCAAATGGCGCTGCCACATCAGTTTTGTTGTAAGTGTTAATAAAAACTGTTCCAGCTTCTAGCTTTTCACTGATGTAGAGAGCTTTGTTTATGTCTTTTGTGAAAACTCCTGAAGCTAAGCCATATTCTGTGGCATTTGCCCGTTGCAATACTCCATCGACATCCCTGTGGGGAAAATAAATTATTTAATTGCAGCTAAGTAAAATAAACAAGTGTTAGCAACCTTCTACCTCCAGTATCATTGAGACAACTTTTCCCATGGCCTTTCTTCTCCAGCGAGCTTTTTAAAAGATGACTTATTAAGGACGAATCTGTGTGTCAATCTGACAGATCCATGGCAGTTCACACTCTTGCTTCAAGCTCATGAAGCTCATAACTTCACTTTTCAAAGGTTAATAGCTACACTGAGAAATGCTACAGGAAATGTTGCTACTGTACAACTTGGGAATTAGAGCAATACAAAAATGCCTGTAAAGCAGATGATGAATCAGTTTGCTCAAATTGTGTCCAGCTTTACAAGTTAATGCAGAATTAAAGCTGGAATTTAAACTGCTATCAAAACATAACTTTTCAGACTATTTCCAGAGTGCTGTTTTCTATCTGCATCTCATCTCCATACAGCTTCAAAAATCAATAGTAGTTTAAATCTTTAAAAAATTTAATGCAGTTCATTAAGACTACAGAATTTATGGATGTGAAAGGTTATCTACGTGGCTGGTTCTTAACTTAATTATCAAACTGCAGAAGATGAAACCTGATGGAAATATTTATGTGAAGTTTCTATGTAGTGTTTTAATCTCATCTGTATGCTAAATAATTCTTATGATCCAGAATGAAAGAGATTAGAAAATACAGTTTACAAAATAAATAGAGCAATTTTCATTTGCAACAGTAATGTGCCAGTGTTACACAATACACAACACTGCAGTCTTCTATAACAGGAAAAATAAGTAATTCCACTGGGAAAAATACACATTTTGTAATTTGAGCAAGCTGTTGCAATTACCACACAAACTTCACTAAAACGTTTCACTAAATACTAGGTATTCAGATTGGTCCAACAAGATTTTACAAACTACTGTGTATGCTGTTACTTCTTCACTTTGGGTGAAAATACAGTAACCAGACGAGAACATACCCATTTTTAAATTTAGAGATGACCATCACAGGACCAAAGGATTCTTCCTGGGCAATATACATGTGGTCTTCAACATCTGTGAATACAGTGGGTTCCATGAAGAAACCTAAAGAGAGGATAGAGCATGGTTTTGAGCATCGTAAAAGGGTTTGCTGTTGTCCAGGCCATTTCTGTCCCATGCTTTGAGGTCATAAATAACTTGCAACTTGAAACAGAAAGTAATTATGAATGAAGTATGAATGGAAATATATGCACTTCAAGAGAAATAGCGGACAAAAGGGTAAAAGAACAGCTTGTACATCAGTGACAACGTGTGCTGTTCCCTGCCAGGCTGGGAGGTCTGCATGCCACAGCCCAGGTGACTTCTTGGGGGAAGACCCCTGTTATCTGACAGCAGGAAGACAAGGTTACAGCAAGACACAGAGGCCACTGTTCTTCTTGCTACCCAACAAGAAGATGGATTGTGAGATCTAAATAAAGATCTCATACTTTACTTGCACAGCTTCTCATAATATGAGATTTGAAATCTCTGTGGTATCATGGGCTTACCTGGTACTGTTCCCATGATATTGCAACTCCACAAAATACAGCTGAGATAATCGTGACTGCTCTTGCATAAAGTGTAAAAGTTCTAAATATCTCTGGAAAGCCTTTTACCTGGTCTACGTACTTGTCTTCCTCCATACACTAGAGTGGCTCCTTCTTTTACTCCAGTTTCACAGTATTGAAGCAGCTTTTCCAAATGTGCCTTGTGATTTTGTGGACCATGATCTGTAGATCTGTCAAGTGGGTCACCAATTTTCATCTTTTTTATTTCTTCAACCTATGGGTTACCCAATTAAAATGAAGTTACATAACACAGCAATATCGTTAAAGTGACCAGAAATTAGGAATGCTGTCTTTGGTGCTAGGAAGATGGAATCTAAGAAAATACTGGATTCTTAGATATAATGCTTTTCTCTTTTTGTAATTAGGCTTTGTCTTTTGTTTCATAATCTCTAATTACTTCCAAAAGTTTTTGATGCTTTGTTCATGTGTGTATTATCTTCTGCTATTAAGATAGGCATGTAAAATGTTAACTTTTAGTAGTGGTAAATGACTTAGGACAGACATTTCCTGTTCTTAAGCAAAATAAATGAATTCTCCAGTGCCACAGCATGGCGACTATTGCATTTTTTAATAGCGACCTTTGTATTATTCTAGCTGTGCTTCCTATATTCCTTTTTTTGACTTTACAGAAGCCTTCTTCAAACATATTGACCTGAGTTCAGTAATTATTTGTAATCTTATTTTCCTAGTCAAATATGAATTTTCACTGAAGGTACAATATCTATTTAACTGCCACTTAGCTGTGTATTACTGGTACAAATATCTCCCTTCAATGCTTCCTTTTAACCATGTAAGAGGACCCTGAGAAGCATCACTGTCTATCATAAGCAATAATGAGAAAATAGGCAATTGAAAATAAGAAACATAAGTGTGTATAAAACTAGTGGATCCTTCTGCCACAGTAAAACATATGCTTAAACTTTTGTCCTTGAATATCTTACCACTTTTCTAACAAACTCATCATGAATTGATTCTTCCACAAACAGCCTGCCAGCTGCAATGCAGTTTTCTCCTTTGTTGAAATACACTGCTCCCATACCCTGATCAGGATAAAAACATAAATATTTATA